ATGAGTCTGTGTGTAGGTACTATTAAATCACTGAACTGAATACATTTCCACCCTCTTCCACTCCACAATATGATTGTGCATATTTCAGTTTAGTCCTCCATTCTGTTTTGCATTTTAATTTAGAGGCAGCCCTCTATTTGGTTTACCATTTTCCCGTGTGGGAGAGAGAGATGTTTTTTTAGTACAGTGAGCAGTGTGGAGTGCTGTGTGTTGCATAGTGACTGAGAGCCATGGGATATGATATAATTTACCTGCACTCTTATTCATTAGACCTACTCTGTCAATTATGTGTTTTTCATAACTATAGAATATTTATTCAACAGTTCTTTATAAAGACACTTTCTTTATAATCTTTTGGAGAGAAAACAAATCAAAGGTTACAAAAGGCTGTTTTATGATTTTTCAATAACTATCACTCACAGTGACTTATGGGAATAAGCATACCCTTGTTGATCTGTCGAGGATCCTGTGGTCTTGTATCTTCTATAGACTATTATTATCCTCTCTCACACTTGAGCAGGGGTACAATGCTGATGTAACTCCTGGCCAACTCATTTGCAAGAAAGGAAGACAGCAACATTAAGGAGGGAGTTTTTCAAGTAAGTATTTCCACCTCCCTTTATTCCCCAAGTCACTTTTACCCATAGGACATTTGAGCATGCAGGATTAATCTTCGCTTCTTCTTTCCTGAAATGAACTCCATTTCTAAGCCAACGAATAAACAACTACTTACTAATACCCCCAACTATAAAATTGATACCCTCTTCCAAATTCATTATGTCACCTGTAAAAAAAAATACCTCCATACTGTACTTCTTAATCCCCCATGCTGAAAGTGAAAGCTCTGTCCCAACTGCCCCGGTTAAGAACAAAAACAAACAAACAACAATCAAACCATTGTACAGGTCCGTGCATGGCATTAGTATGTGATAGGTGATTGCAATGAGCAGTGACTAATCAAATGTTATATGGCAAATGAGAGGGCCTACATTAAAGATTTTTAGTGTGACTTCATCACCTGCATAAATATTTATATAAAAATTGATCTGCTCCAAAAGGTACACTAGGCTAGAAAAAGAAGGGTATAGGCCAAGAAAAATGAACATGTTGCAGAATTTGCAGTTGAAAAGTTTATTTATTTAAAAGAGCTGCCATTAGTTTTAAACCTCCACTAATAACCCACCTATCTGTATTCTCTAGCAAGGCTATGCCTAGCATGGGGTTCTTTGTTCTCAAGAATTTGTTCCATGAAGATCAAACGTGTATCTATCATGCTTGCCTAGCCAAGAACATATGTGTGGTGTGTGTGTATGAGGCAGGTGTTCAAAATGCTGTAAAGAGTGATAGTGTTTTTATCAATGAAAAAATGCAAAATAAGTGAACAGAAGATATATCTAAATCAATCAATATTTGGTGTGACCCTTTGCTTTAAAAACAGCATCATGATTTCTCTGTATATAAATATTATAAGGGTAGAGAAAAGTAAGCTTAAGGTAGTTAGTGAGGGGAGGGGGCATGGTGATGGGCAGTGGGCAAAAAGAAGAGATAATAGTTAAAAGGAGTGTGGGGGCATTCACACGCAATGATCCACTGTATTCGCACACAAAGGCAGTCCCTACAAATACAGACATTGGCTATGACTAACATTCCATATTTACCCCATATGTTTCTAGGGTGACAGAAAAATTTATTTTGAGACAATCATTCACCTTCAGTCTAAATGCCTATATTGGACTGTACGTTTTAATTATAAAACATTTTTTGTCGATTGACTTAACTTATTAGACACAAACTGAGTACTACTTATAGTGTCTCTTGATGTGTCTTAACATGTCTCTCTTCATCAGTGTTGCAGTAATTCGGACATCAGCACGTCTGCAAGTAATGTCCCAGAATAGATGACCAGTCCCTGAATCCTCTGTAGTATCAGTGATGGTCCATGTGAATGCAGAACACGACCGCTCATCAGACACTTTCACATAAAGGAAGCGCAAGCAGGTCACAATTATTTAGATAATTAACACATTAGCATGATCAGCTGTGTTTGGCAAAGTTTCTGTGGAGTCATTATTGGAGTTTCAGTTTTTAAACTTTTTTTAAAGTTTATTTTCGTATATAACATGTACACATACAGGCATATTAGAGACAAAGTTTAGTTAGACAAGTTTTTTGACATAATGTTTGAAAGCTGTCTCAAAACAAAGCTAGGCAGTTAACTATGTAACAGTATAACATTTCAGCAACGTCAACATTAAGTTTGTCATGTGATCTCGCAAAGTCGCCTATTTCAAGTAAGAACTGTCTATTCACAGGAACATACTGTATGTATATATTGGTTGGGATAATGTTTTGATAACTAGGAGAAGTTATCATACTCCATACGATTTAGGGTCTGTGTTAATTTAGTGATATTTGTGAACTAAGAGTGGGGTTTGTCATTGGTTCAGGGAGCACCCTTCATAGAAATGTATACAATCTACATATTGGAGTAACATGGAATACAGGGAGAGGCAGAATGAGAAAATTGTGTCTGACTTAATGGGGAGGTTATATACAAGTTCCTTGAGAGTAGAAGGTAATGCTTATGTCGTGTGCCTATTTAGTCAGGGGTCTCAGATTTTGTGAAACATTTCGGGAGAGTCATGAACATGGGATGTTAGCCTGTCCATATCTAGTACTTCAGTTGTCTTTCATTTTACTGTGGCAAGGGTTGGCACATGACCAAAAGACCATAGCTTTTCACTTGCTCTGTATGCTGATAATGCTACTCTTGCTGCCAATTTATTTTCCACTCTTGTAACTGACTCGAATAGCTTGGACAAAAGTAGAGCCATTGGGTTTGGCTTCCAATATAATTTGGATAGTAAATTTGGGACTTTGAGCCAAAGGGATTTGACTTTGTGCAGATCTACTAACAGTATAAGAAGGAGCCCACCTCTTCGCTGCCCTTCCAACAGGAGTCAGTAGAAGGAGGTGCATTTTTTTCTCATTTAAAGGGGAGTCATGTACCGGTGATATAAGTTTTTATAGACTTGGTCTTTGGGATTTACACAAAGGGTGAGGGACATCAATATATTAGTATGATCATATATATCTGTATATTCTACTATTTTATTCTGGGTGTGTAGATGCAGCATATAGGAAATGTCTCTCTTTTTAAAGTTTGCAAGATGTTTGGGGGTCAGGCTTGGTGGAATTAGTTTCGTAGTATAGGTGTGAGAGTGAATAAGATGAAACTTCAAAAAACATTTTTTACCCAGTTTTATCTACATTTAGTAGTGATATGGTTAGATAGTGTCCAGGATCTACATGATCCTTACCCTATTTGAGGATGAGGCAAAATATCTTAAGGTACTTTGGAGCCCTGGAGTAAGGAGTTAAATACTGAAGAAAATCAAGATAGAAGTAGAGAACTGAAAGTTTTGGAATATGTGGTTTTTCAACTTTATTTATAAAAGAAAGGGGAAAAAAGGGGGGAAAAAGGGCCAATGTTTACCTAATTTACAAGAATAGTAATTGAAAATGTTGGCACTTTCTAAATAATAACAATGATACTAATAATTACCACCTGACAATTACTTATCACTGATTTACTAAAGCTAATTTATAGCATAAGTTATATATGATTTGACAAAATTATTTTTATTTTTGTGTAGTGGTAATGGTTCTATCAGGCTACTGGCATCATTCCCTAGTTCAGACATTTTCAAGCAGTTTGGAACAAACTAGATGTCCTCCAGGCACTCACGGCATGACCCCTCACTTGCCTTACTGCGAATGCATACCATTTTGCATTAGTAATGTCAATAACATCAGAATTTGGACGGCATTGAGTGGCTGAGTGTATAAGCCGACACTCTCAATTAAATGTTGACATCCCAGTTTGGGCAAAACTGACACTGCTAATGCAGATATGTAAAGGGTCTTTGCAAAGGGTGACTGATGAGCTCAATGTTTTTGTAAAACCATTTGAAATTTGTTTTACACAGAACCATGGGACGGTGATAATAGCTTCAGTTTATCTTTGAAAAAATTCACTGAATATGTTTTGCAAAAAAAAAATATATATATATAAAAAAAGAAAAAAATGAACTGCAAGCTGAAAAAATTATTAAATCATCCAAACAATGCACATAATTTATTTATTATGAATTTCTACCTCTTACTCATGTTTGATCAAAGGGCATCAATATGGGGTTGGAATTACAGAGGACTGGCATGAGAGCATGTGGAAAAACAAGTGCTTTCAATATGTTCTTGGTCTAAATCAACCACTTCAACTTAAATCCTCACAATGTAGAACGGTGATCAAATTTTGCTCAACCTGCATTTTGTTACAATTGTTTACATGTCTTTTGTCATTTTTAATCCAATAGCATAATAAGAGATGTCTTCACTAGTGTTTTTTTTTTTTATCCATATATAAATAGGCTATTTGCTAAATATGGTTTTCACGTAAGCACTTTGCAGATCCTGGGACTGAAAGGCACTTTAAAGCGTCTAAAAATAAAAGTAGCATTATTGGATATTATATCGTTGTGCTCATTGTATGTATGTTGAAGATTGTCGCCATTCTTTTAAGTAAATCTGCAATATATTTTAAGTGCAATTACATTTTGTGTTATTGAGTCTTATATCAGGTACACCTTATATAATAATCATCATGTTTTGTCTCAGTCATTTAAAATACACTGATCACTGAATATTTTCCAATACGATATTGTTAGTTCGGTCTTTGGCTGCTGATATGTTTCGTTTTCTTTGTGGCATCTGTTAGTTAGAAGCAGTGACATCGGATCATATGTTACACATTCAGACAGCATTTTTACTTATTTTTTTCTCCTAAAAAGAACAATTCTGATTTCTTAAAAAAAAAAAAAAAGTTTTTTCTTTTTTTATTTGTCAATCTTTGTTTTCATTGAGGCTTAGATTCTCCATAAGTTACAGTGGTACAGGCGTGGCAACAACAGTCAGAACAAGAATGTGCACAGTATGATGACATGGCGAGTTTGATTAGGTTGCAGTAATAATTACGTCAGAAGCAGAAATGCATATAGTAAGACCGTATGGTAATTTCCATTTGATCACAGTTGCAATTACGGTAATAGCAAAAATGTGCACAATTCTACACTATAGCAGTTTTGAATATGTCACGGTCAGAATAATCTAGCCTCTTTTATATGAAAATAAAACAAAAACATGCATTATACAAGAGCAGAAAGAGTCTAGGCAGCATGCCTAAGTGAGTGATTGTGTTATGAAAATATAAACATGCTGATAAAATTAAAAAATTCATAAAATAAAACATGCTGGACATCAATATAATGTGTTAACCAAGGTAAAAGTACAGGAGTCCAACCTGCTAAGCATATGGGGAAGCACAGGTGTGGCAAAAAGCAGAAATTGCCAGTTCACTCAAGGTATTGCTTCATCCGATACCTAATCTGCAGCGGGGCATCAAGCCTCCTGTCAGAGTGATTCGATCAGGATGTAGTTCGAGGTATGGTGGCACCAGCCACATCATCTCCCAGAGCAGTCACGAGGACCCTGGACCTCCACCGCCATTTTGGGAAGCCCTGGGAGAGGCCCGTCTCGAGCCCCAACCTCCAGCGCCTCCAGGAGCAGCACTATGCTTGTTGGTGTCGGAGATCATCGTCAGAGCCGGTCTCCCTGTCACCTCCATGTGCGGGAGGCACATCAGGTGAGTATTGGAGCTGACTTTAGCTTCCCCAACTGGGAACCTTCCCTACAGATATACAGACCGTCGTACCACCTCAGGCTGCTTCTGTGCAGGTAACTTTGGTCTCAGCTCTTTTACTGCTATAACAGCCATAAACCTCTTGAAGAGGAGGTCGAGTTTAGACAGGAATGTAGCCGCGGGTATCAACTCCGACACTTTCACGCCAGCAGTCGCCATCTTGGGAGTCTCATGGGCCCGTCCAGGTGATAAGTAGCTTGAGATGGACTCCTGGGACTGGGATATCCCCTGCCGGTCCAAAGGGGGGGAGTAGCAGTAGTTTGCCCTATCTGCACCACAGGCCTCAAAGCAAAGAGAGCATCCGCCTCTCCACAGCCCCGCTGCCGCAGACCTCAAGAGTTCGTTCTGGGCAGTCCAATGGCGGATAATCACATGAGAGGTGTCCCCAGAGTCACCGGGTTTCCTCTGCACTATTAGTGCCCAGTTGCGGTGGTATCAATGGGCTGACTGGTTTTATCACTTGAGTTCCGGTGCCATTGCAGGAGCTCGTTCAGCACACGTCTATTCTGCTTGGCAGTCAGGACTAGCCCCAAAACTGTTTGTTTTTTAAATTATGCTTGTGCAATTTAAACAGGGGGCAGATAACCTGGCTGCATGGCCTTGCTCTCAGCTCACTAAACATAGAAACTGCAGTGGAAGCTCGACCATAGGGGCAATTGGGCATTGTCCTTGGGTTTTTATTGCAATTAAAAAATAAATATTATATATATATATATATATATATGCCAGCCAGTAGAGGTGCTTCTGCGGCACAGGCCAAATAAAATTTGGTGAAGTGATGCAGAAGCCCCATAGGAAAGCAGGGCCTCTTCTGTGACATCAGTGCCGGAGGAGAGGTCAACACTGCAGAGGGAGCCTCGGCACTGGAATAAGGTAAGTAAAACATTATTTTTTTTGTAAATAATTTTTTGCTGTGGAGTTAATGTATTTAGAGTTAGGGCGAGGGACACAATAGCGTTTGGTTTACAGATTTGTATTCCTAACACTGTGTTCCTTTAAGTCAGGATTTGAGAGCATGGTGTTAATTGGACAGATTCCAATAAATAAGGGGGCAAAATCAAGTTCAGCCCTATCATATACCACCCCACCTTCTTAAAACATCAACAGCGTGCACTAGAGTCTACAATTTATAAAATAACACGCTAAATAATGAAACAACTGTAGCTTAATGAAGTGGTTGTGTGGATAGATTATGCATTTGCAGCAGCGGCATAACCAGAGTTATAGTCGCCAGGGGCAGAACAAAAGTTTTCACCCCCACCCATGTACAGGTGAATTACTATAGTAAAATTAAAATGCTTTTCAAAAGTTGTAAAAGCTAATTAAATCAAAAAGAAGTACATTTTTAATGATTGTAAACTGCAACGGCAGGTCTCATCCACCATCTTCAGGCTCAGATATTGAAAATATTTTGTGTATTACAGACATTATGTGAGATGTTTTTAAATGAGAAAACTTTCAGCAATCCGACAAATTGAGGAAAACGGCAATCAAAAGAGGTTTGCTGTCCATCAGCTCAGCTCCAAGTCCTCGCTAGTTTTTGGGTGCCGAAAACAGTCTGTGTCACTCCGTGCTGAGGTCGGAACGTTGCTTAGCTCAGCCCTCACCTTTGAGTGACAGCCAGGAAGCTTCAGTGCTGCTAGTCGCACATCTAATGTAGAGAGGACCCTGGAGCAAGAGTTTTTTTTGGCTCCCTTAGCGCAATGGTGGCCAAAAGGTAGGTCATACATCTCCTAAGGTGTGTTGCCAGCTGGGGATCTACCATTTGCCCATCTTTGCAGGGTTTTATTTGTGGGCAGTGTTTGTATGTTTGAATGTAAGCATGTTTTTGTATAGAGTATAGTAGTTATGCTACTGTTCTACAGTCTCACTGGTCAATTATCTGCCATTTTGGAGAGCTGAAGTGCTCGGACAGTGAGGTAGCCCGACCTCACTGCATGGCTTAGCTCATGAGAGATGGTGGAAGCTCCTAAGCAGGATCTTTTTGCTGTGTGTAGACTGTAGTAAAGGAGGGGCAATACCCAAAGGAACCCGATTAAGAAGCTAAACTTTTTTAATACGGATTGACTTCTTACAATGGCGGGGGAGGAAGGGGGCACCATGACACTTCTGACAACATAACCACTGCAAGTGTGTTTGGTATTTTGAATGTTTCTTTGAGGGAGTTAATTAATGAAACTTGGTGAAAATTCTTTACAAATATTGTAAAGTATTTAGAGCTCATACAATGTAATATTTTTAAATCATACACTCCTTAACTATTTCATATGTTCTACAGCAAGTCCTCAAGAACAGTAATAGGTTTAATATTGTTGTAAAAGCTAATTAAATCAAAAAGAAGTACATTTTTAATGATTGTAAACTGCAACTGCAGGTCTCATCCACCATCTTCAGGCTCAGATATTAAAAAAATATTTTGTGTATTAAAGACATTATGTGAGATGTTTTTAAATGAGAAAACTTTCAGCAATCCTGCAAATTGAGGAAAACGGCAATCAAAAGAGGTTTGCTGTCCATCAGCTCAGCTCCAAGTCCTCGCTAGTTTTTGGGTGCCAAAAACAGTCTGTGTCACTCCGTGCTGAGGTCGGAACGTTGCTTAGCTCAGCCCTCACCTTTGAGTGACAGCCAGGAAGCTTCAGTGCTGCTAGTCGCACATCTAATGTAGAGAGGACCCTGGAGCAAGAGTTTTTTTTGGCTCCCTTAGCGCAATGGTGGCCAAAAGGTAGGTCATACATCTCCTAAGGTGTGTTGCCAGCTGGGGATCTACCATTTGCCCATCTTTGCAGGGTTTTATTTGTGGGCAGTGTTTGTATGTTTGAATGTAAGCATATTTTTGTATAGAGTATAGTAGCTATGCTACTGTTCTACAGTCTCACTGGTCAATTATCTGCCATTTTGGAGAGCTGAAGTGCTCGGACAGTGAGGTAGCCCGACCTCACTGCATGGCTTAGCTCATGAGAGATGGTGGAAGCTCCTAAGCAGGATCTTTTTGCTGTGTGTAGACTGTAGTAAAGGAGGGGCAATACCCAAAGGACCCCGATTAAGAAGCTAAACTTTTTTAATACGGATTGACTTCTTACAATGGCGGGGGAGGAAGGGGGCACCATGACACTTCTGACAACATAACCACTGCAAGTGTGTTTGGTATTTTGAATGTTTCTTTGAGGGAGTTAATTAATGAAACTTGGTGAAAATTCTTTACAAATATTGTAAAGTATTTAGAGCTCATACAATGTAATATTTTTAAATCATACACTCCGTAACTATTTCATATGTTCTACAGCAAGTCCTCAAGAACAGTAATAGGTTTAATATTATTTGATTAAACGGTTCTATTGAAAGAAGGATATTGATACAACATTGCCAACTGCTGGTTTTTGAACAATGACCATTTTTTTGTAATTAAAGTTTCCAAAACTGTAGACAACCTCTTTGACTAGATTTTAAGTTGGTAAGTGCCATAACATAAAAAAAATAAAATCTCTTTTTTTGTTTCTTTTGTAGCTCCAGTAATAAATCGATTTACAAGACGTGCATCAGGTAAGCACCAATTTTTTATGTGTATATCTAATTTATTTAAACAGTATATATCATTCTACATTTTATTTTGTATTCGCTGGGGCCTTCTTCCTTGCTCTCTATACCAAATATCTGGAAAATAATAGATATGTTTTAGATGACTTGAGATAAAGAAAACTAGACATAAAAGGTGTCTTCGACCTAATGTTTCAATTTGCTTTTCAACTCAGTATAGCTAAAAAAAGTAAAAAATATCATAACTCCTTTGTGACAGATGGCATCGTTTAACTTTTTTTTCATATCATTGCATTTGCCTAAACCCTTGTCCTGAAGGGATTTTAATAAAAAATATATATTATGGTTTATTCAATGAACAGTGGATCTTGATTAACAAACTTAATAGAATGTCAAACTTTATTTTAGAATTTGACAATTTAGCTGCATTGGAACACAAATCTAAAATTTCACTATTTTCCTTGATTTACTTTTGTTGGATAAGCTTTCCAAATGCTGAATATTTTTAGATAAACTTTTTAAAATAATTTTTTAAACATATTAAAGAGACACTATAGTCACCAGAACAACTACAGCTTATTGTATTTGTTCTGGTGAGTAGAATCATTCCTTTCAGGCTTTTTGCAGTAAACACTGTCTATTCAGAGAAAAGTTAGTGCTTACGTTACAGCCTAGGGATACCTCCACTGGTCACTCCTTAGATGGCTGCTAGAGGTGCTTCCTGGGGCAGTGCTGCATGTAGCGGAATGGACGTTTGGTATATACCTTTTGTGGCAGAAATTACCACCTATTCATATGTTTTCTCTTATTTTGTGTGCTTGACCCTTTTGCCCGTTTGGGAGTACTTCATACGAACAAAATCCATTTGTCTCCCGAACGGGGACCAGCCCTGTACCCCATTAGAACGTTCACACCAGTAACTTAAGGGCGAAACCGCAAGGGAAGTAATTAATGAATGCTTCCCCTGGGTGGCTGCCATTTCGTATAATCAAACATGTGGCAGACAAAAGAATGGCAGCGATCTTGTCTCCACAACGTGAGCAGTGGTACTTGGTCGTCAAGTGGAACTCTTTTAGGCTAGGCGAACACCAGTAAAACTTAGAGCGCTGCTTGTTCTATTTCCCGACCACCTATATGAACGACATTCGGGAGATATGAACTACCGAACAGAACTACTGAATGGGGGAGCATATGTATCCTGAAATGAAGAGATTCCCTTGCATGGTGTTCACATAGGAACCTCACGAACGGAGACCGGCCAGAGCACCTATTGTCCTGAAAACTGTTTTGGGCTAGCGCCTCCTGTCTGACCGGTCAAAACATTACCTCAATGGCATTCCCGGTTTACCGAATCGATCTGAGTGATTCTTGTATATGTTATACACTCAGATCGGGGCTATTGGGGAATGTACTTTGTGTGGGGTATGGCAATGGTATTTTTGGGGTACAGTTTATTTTGCTGGATTTTCTGTGCCTGAGAGATCATTAACTTAGAGGATTTTTCTCACGCAGTTATCTCTCAGGCACAGAGGATCTTGGAATTGAAACCCCAAGCAGTTAGCCAAGCAGGCAGATCAGGGGCAGCACCAGCATCAGCAAACTGGAATGAAGGTAGACTTTTAGTGGGGGCTAGATAGTGTTTTTAACACTATAAGGTCGGGAATACATGTTTGTGTTACTGACCCTTTAGTTTTCCTTTAAAAGATCAAAAAATGTAGCATTCAGAATCAAGCAAATATTAGGCAGTAGATCTGCAACTTTTGCATGCAATTTTTAGATATACCCAAAATGAAAAATGCAGCAGTAAATTCCTATATGTTTTCATTGGGGTATATGTGCTAAATGTTTAATATCCAGTGGAGTGAAATTTTATATTTTAAAGTTTTAGATTTTAATCACCACTCTTATTTATAAAACAGTGAACCCTGGTGAAATGACAAGAGGTTTCCAAGATTTATTAGTGTTTAGTTTAATTGAATTAAAATATATATATATATTTTAAGGAATTGGTAATGTATTTGTGAAAGCAGAAAGGCTAATTAAAGCATGCAAATAATATGCAATCAATTTTAATTAGTAGAAAAGAACTCTGAAAATGGTTAGTGGACTCTGCCTAGAATGGGGCCCCTGAAGGCAAAAGAGTGAGCATGCATTGCCAGTTGTAAATAAATTCTAGTTCCTTGCATGGTAATACCCCTCTTGAATATGTTCACATTTTGTATTGTTGCAATGTGGACACCAGTAGTGAAATAAAATGCTTTTATTTAGCACAATTAGACATGTCTATTTGTGCTAAATGAAACAATTTTACTTCACTACTACAGTCTTCAGAGCGCACTCATCTTGTTTTTCTATGTGTGTGTGTATATATGTGTATATATATATATGTGTGTATATATATATATATATATATATATATATATATATATATAGAGAGAGAGAGAGAGAGAGAGAGAGAGAGTTATATCAATGGTGTAGTACCTGGGGCGCAAAATTTCAACAACAACAAGAAAAAGCAGTGATAATAAATAAAATATAGCATGCCCCCCCCCCCCCTCACACAGAAAATCTAGACTATACACATTGCTTCAGGTGTGAAGTGGATTTTTAAAATGACGCAACTTAACTATCAGTGTTACACATAACAGAAATAAAGTGGGTGGTGAAGGAGGAGTGAGGCTATCTAGGCATCAATTAAGTAAATTGGAGAATGCTAACGGTCCACAGCTTAAGGAGCACAATTCTTGCCTTACCTCGTGTACTGGCAACCCACACTGCACCACTGAGTTTTTTTTTTGATGTTGTCAATTTCTTGTTATTTTTTCAAAATAGAACTTGTATCTGATATGCATCGGTGAGGCTCGCAGGTCTCCAAACAATCAATGTCACTATGGGACACGGAGGTCACTTACATTGTAAACACTTGGATCTTGCATCACAATTTAGTAGGGTAATACCTCCTTATTATAACTCAAGTTGGGCTCAATCTTGTTACATACATTGCACCACTGAGATTTATTTATATATACCGTATTTACTTAAATCTAATGCGCCATCAAATCTAATGCGCATCTCCGTTTTTAAAACCTGGAAGCTAAAAAATGTTTTTGCTGGTGAATGTAATGCGCATTTATACTAAGAAGATACTACTAAACAACATTGTGCTACAATTAAAATGTTTAAAATGTTTTGTTTTGTATTCACCGCAAGGCTAAAAGGGCATTTGCCTTGGGCGGCACTTTCCTGGGGACGGCAAAAAATCCACCCCCCAAACACCCCAAGATCAATGAGCAAGAAGATCACAGCTCCCTCGCCGTCTACTCTGCCAGTTCACCCCCTACACAGGTATTGGAAAAAACATGAGGTAGATGTAAGCTTACCGTAAGGGCGTCTGGAACCGGGGTTCCCTCTGAAGCCTCTGGAGCGCCATGGTCTTCCATGAGAGGGGAAGAAAGGGGACTGATGTCTCGTCTCCTGGTAGGATGGACACTGGGTGTAGGAGCCTCGTCCCGATCCACGTGCATGGTAATTAGACCGGCCGGACAGATGGCCTCTGAATCTGCCGGCCCTGGTAGAGACCCGTCCCTGAAATGCCCTCTGCATAGAGGATTGAGCCTTGTCCAGGGCTGTAAAAGCAACCACAAAGCGCCCCAGATCCTTTATAAAGGATTCTCCAAACAACAGGCCCTGGGCTTCTTTGCCCGCCTCCGTGAGGGCGAGGTTAGCAAGTTTAGGCTCAATTTTAAAGAGAATGGCTTTACGCCGCTCTATAGACAGGGAGGTGTTCACACTGCCTGCTATGCAGATCGCCCTCTGCACCCATCCACGGAGTTCATCTGGGTCAACCTGCGTGTTTTCGGCTCTGGCTAGCTCAGCCAGGTCAAACAGTTTGGCCAAAGGGCCAAAAATGTCCAGGTGTTTGTACTGGCATGTCTTTAAAGCGGAATCCAATCCCTTGCGGGGAATCCATCCCATCTTGGAAAGAAATTGGGTCATTTTGGGATCAACAATTGGGGTCTCACAGACTTTACTGGGAATAAGGGGTCTAGGACATTCTGCCCTGAGTTTGTTGCGCGCTGCCTTGCTAAGGGGGCGCCGTACCCAGTTCTCAAGGTATTTAGCCACATTCTGCCGACCTCGGGTGATGGAGAGCATCCGGGTCAAACATAGGTTCCTCAGACAGATCCATGAGGGTGGAACCCGCGGTAGCGGGGGAGTCGCTGCGAGGGACACTCATTACCCCCCTGCCAATCTCATCATTGGAGTCACATACGGACTCGGCATCAGCCTCCTCAAAAGACCCAATTTCGGAGTCACTCTTCTTTTGTGCTCTAGCACATTTCCACTGCCGCGCCCATTCTGCCTTGCGCGGAAAGGCTCTCTTGCGTGACATAGGCACGCTGTCATGGGTGGATATATTCACACCAGTCGTAATGTTTCTGGAGACATGGAGACTTAAGTGCCTGGATTTTCTTGGAACATCCCCTGTAGGGCTTAAAGCAGAACGCGCTAAGCTCGTCAGAGTGGCCGAGCCTTCTGCGGCCAAAGGGCGAGCCAGTAAGGCTTGCAAAATAGTCTGGGAAAGGACAGAGGACATTGAGCCCATGGCAGCCATAATGGCTTCCATAACGGAGCGCTGTAGTGCCAGGGATTGGGCATCCTCAGGTACAGACATAGGGTCACCAGCAGAGGAAGGGGGACCAGAGCTGTCAGAGGGGTTATCCAAAACATGGGGTATATCCATTTCTCCAGGGGGTAGGGGGGTGGCAGGCACTTTGGACTTGGGCATAATAATATTGCTGTGAGATATCCCAATGACACCAAAGATAAAATAGTAATATATGCTGCAGGGAAGTGAAAGCTTAAACTAAAATAACAGAGAGAGAACAGGCTAGCAGGAGTTAATCACCCCAGACTAGCAATACCTTATAGAGGGTAAAGTTAGGGAGCTCACGAGGGCCCAGGCCGGTAGACAGGAAGAGGACACGAGGAATAGCAAAGAGACTGTAAGACAGGATGTTAGAAAATGGCCGCTGGCAATCTCGCGAGATTCGCTGCAAAATTCTAATAATTCGTTGTGGCGAAACCGACCTCGCCACTGGGCATTGGAGAAGACTGATTGCCAGCCTCCTGCCATGTGACTATGGCCCCTGGGATGTATTGCCCTTAAAGACTTGATTTGGGCATAATGGATTTGTGTTGTGCTGCTGCTGGCCCTTTAAGAACCATCTGGGGACATACTGTGGAGTTACTGGGTGGCCACCATTTCCTGTATCAGAGGCACATGGTGAGAACAATGGATGAAGCACATGGTGAGAACAATGGATGGCGGCCATTTTAACTCACAGACACTGTTTGAACTTTTCAACACGGTGCCATCTCGCCGGTATTTGGTGCACAGAGACATCGTGCAGTGGTTTTGGACTATACAACAGGGGACACATTATACAGTAATTGTTTTTCATTTAGCCTGCATATGTTCTGTGGAATCTGCATTAAACTGTATCTTCCAAAGTACTGAACGGATCTGGGTGAATTTTGGATATGTGGTTCACCCAGATCCCCCAGTTCCAATGATATATATTTTTTATGGGGTTATTTATGGGGTTATTGCATGTTTTGGGGTCCCTGTGATGTGTTTTATGATACTGTATTTCTCTGCCTGTGATAATTAGATTAACCATTGTGTTCAGTAATCATATCGCAGGCAGAGGGGAGGATTTTGTGTGGGAGTGTCTGTGTGTATTGTCAGGATTGATTGCCTGTGTTTCAAAGCCCTGTGGGCAGTACTATTTTTGTGGATTGTGAATAAAAGAGGCTGTATGTGCCAGTTCAGTCAGTTCCTGATTAACCCTCAAAGTGAAGTGTCGTCTCATTATTGGGGGAGGATTTATTGTATGCTGTTCCTGTTTGACTGCTAGGAGTGTAAACCTATTCGCATGGTTTTTCCTATTCGGCGGTATACAACATTCATATGCTTAAAAGTACTCATATGCTTCTCCGGTTCGGTGATTGTGGTGTCTGCCAGAGTGGTTGGAGTCCTCAGGAAGCGCTAGGAGCATCCTTCAACGGAGGTACCCAGTCGGGGTGCCAGGTGATCTGTTACATTCGTCAAATAAAGAGCCGAACTTTCGGCAGAAAGTGATGAATTCGTGAAAATAAATAGACGAAAGTAATAGAAGGGAAAACAGACAAATTAGCTGGCTGTTCGGATAAAATTAGCCGAACGCGGCAAACAAGGCTGTATGCAGTGAAACTTACAAACTGTATGTTTCTATGTTTCTGTATGGTTTCGAGAAGAATTTAGCCGAACGGCATGATTCATTCATGAAAAAACAGCCGAACAGAATGTATAAAAACAGGCGCAAAGGGCGCCAAAAAGACAGGAGAAGGAGCAATGAAGTCACAGACAGCCAGAGATGGAATAAAGCAAACGGAGAAAAGATAAGAGCAACAGGGGAAGCTCAAGTGATAGGGATATAGATAATAATAATACCCTAAAGAGGTCTAGAACCCTGGGCTTAAAGGATAACATACAATATAAAATCCACAATAGGATAAAAGCATAGAAACATAAAATATATGGAAAATAAATAAGTAAATAATGAAACTACAAGCAATAAAGTAAATAGAAGTTATAAGAAACAAAAAAAATTAATGCAAATAAATAGTATACATAACAATAAGGCAATGATAATATGGATTTAGTCATGTTCTTATCTGTTTGGTAGCAGCAAAGAAAGAGGAATTGTGTGGGGAGGTGCTGACTATTATACTGGGACTTGGTCTATCACTATGGTTACCATTTTTACTTACTGTTTGTATTCTTTGTTGCTATTGGTGGACAGTAAAGAAAGGGTTAAGCAATATGAGCCTCCGTGTCTTGACATAAAATTTCACATTTTGCCCCGAATCTAATGCGCCATCAAATCTCATGCTCCATCAAATCTAATGCGCATTAAAATTTTCGAAACTTCATAATTACCGTGATGATGCCGTACTTACCTACGCTGTCGTGGCATTAACCGATGTCTCTAGCTAGATAGGCAATGTTTAATAGCCTTTAACCACTACTATACCTGCTAAAACCACTGTATGTTCACTGTCTCAAGCTTGATGACCCCATCGTGACCTACCACACTGGACATACAAAGCTAGCCTGTATTTTGCATGTTTATAAACTTAAAAGTATTCCCAGACTGTTTTTTTTTTTTTTTTTTTTATTATAAAAATGTGGTTTCCAATATATGCCATTGAAATGCCTGTAATTGCTGTTGTGGCGCTACAGGTTTCCCTGTTAAGTAATCAAATGCACAAGAAAAGTAAAGAATTTATAAATAAAATTTTCGAAACTTTATTTTCCAAAAAAGGTGCTCTTTAGTATCGAGTAAATATGGTATGTGGTATATAGTATAGATGAAACAAAAAAATACATGTAGACAAAATGTAAGATAGTAATTACATTTGTTGCGTATTATTTCCTTTTTCTGCAACATCTTTGAAATGTTATGTTAAGTGCACATTTTATATTAGCAAACAACATAATTTTCTCTTTGACCTTCTGATAAGAAAAGTACAAATATTGTGAATTGTTATTTTGAATTTAAAAGCAACTAAAGCCTCTACGTTTGAAACATGTTTTGCTAATCAAGCCATCTGTACATTACTTATGTTCCAGAAATTAAAATCCACAGAATGTTTTCTGTGATATCCCTTCATCTAGTAATGTGCAGATTCTGACAGCGGGTGGAGAAATAAATTATTTTGCAGGAATATTTTGTGTAACGTGACCGAACATCAATAAAGCCTCAAACATACCATTTCATATTTCAAGACACAGATGCCTTAATTTGAGATCAGTTGTCTTGAAAATACAGAATGTAAGATGTCACTCTACTGGTTAAGAATGTTAATAAGGTTAGATTTCTTTTTAATTTTCTGTTTCACCGATGGAGTTCAGCAACGCATTATAAAGGCAATATATGGACTATAAATTAAGGCCAATGTTACAATCCCCCTCTAGTATATGGATTGGCCCCCCTCCACCAAAGAAACTGGAGGTCCTAAATTTTTTTTCTTTTTTTGCTGACTGATATAAAAAATATATATATTACAATTTGTGAGCATTAATACTCTGAAGGATGAAAATGACAATTCAAGACTAAAAGTGGTAAACGATGTAAGTGCCAAAAAAATTCAAACACCGTTTTCCACATTTAAGTGTCAAATGAACAATGCTTTATAATGTGGTAAACATGAAAAGTGCCTGGTAGTCCTCTATGTAGTTCAGAAGAGCGGGTAAAGAAGTCACTAGTGTGAACGTCCCTGCGGACTGATTCGGTGAACGATGGAAGTGCCAAGCAAGGCGGCAGCAATACTTTCCTCTTGAACAGCATCAAAGCAGTCTTTGTTTAAGTTTGTAGCTGTGGCATCCACTCATGCGAGTCAGTGTTTTTTTTAGTGTTTTTCTTGTGTCCAATGAGAAAAGCTGTTCAAATATGACTCCCTCCCCCGTGAAGGTGACAAAAATTAAAGTGATTCAAGAAAGAAGGCGTTTGAAGCACTCTGGCAAGCCATATATGACGTCAGCAGGAAAGCTGTTGAAGGTAAGCAACTCCCTTCAGAGAAAGTCACTTGCAAATGCCACTACGCTTATAAAACTTTTTCCTCGGAGTACCGAGACAAACTTTTTACGGAGTTGTTTAACATCAGTGACAAGGATCAAGGAACCTACCTTCTTAACCGCTTGCAAGTCACCGAAATTTCTCGTTGACAACATGGGAAGTATGGAGAACCTTCTGAAAGCAGACGACAGAGTACTATGTTTTATACAGTACCCAATAAGAGGGGAGAACATGTCCAACTGATGATGAGAGGAACCTTGTCCTATGTCACATTTTGTCATTCCCACGCAAGGTTAGTTACTACGGAAAAAGTCAAAGATGAGTATCTGAACTCTGATCTTAATCATTCTCGATTACACATGGCATTCACAAAGATGTACCCTCAATCGAATGTCACACAAGCGTACTACGTATCTGTTTTTTGAATTTGACATTTTTATTTTGTAATCGAGGGTAGGGGTTACAGAAGGCAAGAGGGAGACACAGGGGGGTTATACATAAGTCTATACATAAGATTTGTCAACTGTATGAATCTCTGCGCAGGTTAACACCATTACCTGCTATGGGCTCGTTCGGGTAACACCAGTGGTTATGATATCTTGATTCTCAGTGCAAGTTGAGCTTTGTGTGTTGTTTGTGGGCGGTGTCTGTCCTCGGTGGTTCGACCTCGATTGGGTTTAGGAGTTAATACTGTCTACAGTGCTGGTGTTGGACCTGTGGGGGAATCAGGGCGGTCGGGTTGCGGAGGGGTATTGAGTCGTGCAGTGTACTTGGAGTCACATAAGTGTAGTGTGGGCACAGTGTACGGAGGTGTTATGTAAGTGTGATGTAGGTGCAGTGTAGGTGCGGTGTGTGTGCGGTGTGTGTACGTGAGCCAGCTTGCATGTTGTTAGGTTGCCTCCAGTCGTATATGGAGGGTTTCTGTTGTCGTTGGTTCAGTGTGGTTTGTTTCGGTCCCAAAGATTCCATGCTTCTGTCCAATAAGGGCTGGTCTGGCTTGATTTCCTTGCCATTGTTTCATAAGTTTTGGACGCTTCTACAGCTGTGATGCATTGGTTGATCGTTGGGGTTTGTTTCCAATTTCTACTAATGGTAGTGAGGGCTGCTATACATATGTGGTATAGTAGGTATTTAGTGTGCATGTGCCGTGTTGGGGGGAGTAGTAGTAGCAGGAATACTTCCGGCAGGAGGGAGATATGCAGTTTGGTGCAACGCGTTCTATGTATCTGTTTTTAAGGAGAATTTCCCAAAGTTAAAATTTGCCCGCCCTCGTATGGACACATGTAATAAATGCGACAAGTTGACTGCTTCTATCACAATAAGTACTTCCCCAGCAGAAAAACAGAAAGCTAGCATTCAGCTGCAGCTTCACATCCGTAAAAGTGATAAAGACCAAGATAATATGAGAGGATACAGTCTGCTCTCAAATGTCAGGAAGCAATGTGACAGTCTTCGCTATGGACTTACAGCAAGCGCTTTGTTCCCACCCTCACACACCAGGTATGTTCAAAAAAAAAAATTTTTTGTGTTTTTCCAACATTTTCACTTTTAGCACTTACTATGTCTAAAATTTTTAGTCCTCAATTATAAATTAACTTTTATTTTTTTATTTTTGTTTTATTGTGCCGCTAGCAGAATAAAGACATACAAATATCGTCGGCATCTAATACAACGTAGGCAACATAGGCCTCGATTTAATAGGCTTTCCAAATGATTCAACGCTTTTAGAAATATTTTTCAAATGATTTATCTACAGAAGTAGATAACAGTTTAATTGATACGCTTTTATGAAGAAGTGGGTTTTAATGATTTTTTGAAGGAGTGGAGACTGGGTGAGCATCTAACTGAAGAGGGAAGTGAGTTCCACAGGAACGGTGCAGTCCTGGAGAAGTCTTGAAGGCGAGCATTAGAGGTGGGAGTACGGACAGAAGATAGACGTAAGTATTCAGCAGAGTGTAAGGGCCATACTTGTATATTAGGGAGGATAGATAGATGGGAGCAGCATTATGTAGAGATTTGAAAGCAAGAACCAGAATTTTAAATTGAGCCCTATATCTTACAGAAAGCCAGTGTAGGGACTGACAGAAGGGTGAGGTGTGGGTGGTGTGGGCAAACAGAAAGATGAGCCTCGCCGTGGCATACATTATGGACTGTAACGGCGCAAGTTGGGAGCATGTAAGACCACTGAGAAGTGGATTACAGTAGTCAAGGCGAGAAAGGACAATGGAATGGACCAGCACCTTAGTCGCATCTGGCGTTAAGTAGGGTCGGATGCGCGCAATGTTTTTGAGATGGAAGTGGCAGGATTTGGTGATAGACTGAACATGAGGCGTGAAGGAGAGGTCGGAGTAAAAGAAAGCACCTAGGCAGTGAGCCTGCGTGGTGGAGTTGATGGTAGCACCATTAACTTGGAGGGAGACAGACACAGGAGTAGCAACACTTGAGGGTGGAAATACCAGAATTTCAGTTTTGGTCAAGTTGAGTTTAAGGAAGTGGGCAGTCATCCAGTTAGAAATAGCAGAGAGGCAGTCAGAGACACTAGTCAAGAGGGACATGGAGAGATCAGGAGAGGACAGATAGATTTGTGTGTCATCCGCATAGAAATGATATTGGAAGCCAAAGGAGCTAATGAGTTTACCAAGGGAGGCAGTATGGATGGAGAACAATAGAGGACCAAGGACTGAACCTTGGGGGACACCAACAGAGAGGAGTTGGGGAGAAAAAGCAGAGCCAGAGAAAGAAACACTGAAAGAGCGCTGGGAGAGGTAGGAGGAGCACCAGGAGAGCTCAATATCTTGTAGACCAATATTGCGGAGGATAAGAAGCTCTTGGTGATGAACAGTGTCAAAAGCCGCAGAAAGGTCAAGGAGAATTAGGAAAGAGTAGTGACCATGAGATTTTGCAGCGAGTAGATCATTGGATACTTTGGTCAGTGCCGTTTCTACAGAGTGCTTAGCGTGGAAATCAGACTGAAGTGGGTCTAGCAGAGCATTGGATTTGAGGAAGTCTGTCAATCTCACATACACAACTCTTTCAAGGATCTTGGATGCAAAAGGCAGTAGCGAGAGAGGACGGTAATGAGATAATTAGACGGTAAAAAGGAGGTGTAGAAATTGCAGCATTCCCCTCCCCCACATACCGTCATGGCCTCTGACATACCGCTAACCTTAATATGCTTGAGACAGCTCTTGCCTTCTTTGACCGACATTTTCATCAGGAGATCATTACATACCCTGTACATAGTTGTGAGTATAGTAAGAATTGTGGAAATCCTCCTCCAGGGCCTTCACTATGGTCATTAAAGTATTGATGTCCTCTTTAATCACAAAGATAATTGCGTGAAAGAGTTGCCTGATGTACTTCAATAGAGATTTAAAGGAACACTATAGTGTTGTGAATACAAATCGTTTTTGTTCTCCTAAGATTGGAGAAAAAAAAAAAAAGTAGTTTTTCTCCCACAAGTAAATTAACCTTTTTGTGACTAAAATATAAGAACGAGTAGATGGCCAGATATTTGACAATGCAGATGACCTCTGAAATGATGTTTACACAGAATTCTAGTGACTGGGTAAAAGTATTAATATTTAATCTACAAAACAGCCCCTGGAACTTTTCAAAAGTATCAATTCAGCACTCAACACTTTAAGACACTTAAACATGTTTGAAAACCAATGAAGATGCATGCTTATAGTTCTTTATGTTATCAAACACAATTTTTTATTAAACATGCTAAAATACAGCATCCATGAGACAGAGAAATCCAGTATGAGTTCATATAAAATATTTTGCCCCTTACACTGCTATTTAACTAATGCACTGGTTACATGTGTGTGTTTCTAAACTGTTCTCATTCTGTTAGGACACACTTCGGTAGTTTTGCCGGCGTTCTGTCTAAATGACAGGACGTTCGGGAAAAGTGAAAGAAGGCTTTGCGGGAACACGGTGAATTATGGGAAAATTGCTCTGACCACCGGAAATAAAGTACACTTAGCTCCTCCCCTGGTCAGAGATTGTCAGGTCTAGGAAACCTCCATAAGACAAGTAGTCCCTACTTTGTCTTATGTTTTAAAGAAAACTAGAGCAGACAGGAAGAAATGAAGATCAGATCCTGACAGAGGGAGAAAAGAGAAATAGATTAAAGAAAGGTAAGTTTGGCATGACAGTGCCGCTTTATTTGCAGATCACCTTTTGTAGTACTGGAATTGTCCATAAGCCCTAACACATTGTCTCCTTTGGATTATAGCCTAGGTCATATGCTACACCCGTCCTCTTTCTCAATACCTATTTCATCACACATAATATTGCTTTTCAGCCCTAATAGTACCTGCTGTCACTATGTACACTGTAACGGATCACCTGGCACCCCGACTGGGTACCTCCGTTGAAGGATGCTCCTAGCGCTTCTTTTTTTGGGGAAATATGTTTATTCAGTTAATTGGAGAATCAGCAGTTAGAACAGTTTGAAGACTCGCAGGTCTAGGTATGCATGCATTATAAGTGTAACAGGGGTAGGAAAAACTGGTCTCCTAGCGCTTCTTGAGGACTCCAAGCACTGCAGCAGACACCACAACCACCGAACCGGAGAAGCATACGAATACTCTCAAGCATATGAATGCTGTAAGCAGCTGAACAGGAAAAACATACAATCAGCTTACACTCCTGGCAATCAGCATACAATAAATCCAATTCCCCCAATAACGAGACGACACTTCGTTTTGAGGTCAAGCAGAACTGACTGTACTGGCCCATACAGCCTCTTTTATTCACAATCCACAAACATAGTACTGCCCACAGGGTTTTGAAATACAACCAATCAATCTGTACAATACACACAGACAATCCCACACAAAATCCTCCCATCTGCCTGTGATATGATTACTGAACACAATGGTTAATATGTATGGTTAACAGTATTATAAAACATATCACAGGGAGACCAAAACATGCAATAACCCCATAAATTCACCCAGATCCATTCAGTAGTTTGGAAGATACAGTTTAATGCAGATTACGCAGAACATATACAGGCTTTATGAAAAATAATTACTGTATAATGTGTCCCCTGTTGTATAGTTTAAAACTACTGCACGATGTCTTTGTGTACCAAATACCAGCGAGATGGCACCGTGTAGAAAAGTCTAAACAGCGTCTGTGAGTTAAAATGGCCATCCATTGTTCTCACCATGTGCCTCTGATACATGAAATGGTGGCCACCCAGTAACTCCACAGTTTGTCTGGAAGTCTATCCAGCCGGACCAACAGATGAAACACATGGGGAATCATAAAAAATATGGACAATAGTCATATTTGTGCACAATCTCCAGTTTTGTCACAGGGCACAAATAGTGTTTTCAAATGCCATATATCCCAGGGCCATAGTCAGAAGGTAGGAGGCGGGCAAGCAGCCCCCTCCAAGAACACGTGGCGAGGTCTGTTCCGCCACATACACCCTAAAATTATTACCCTACTTAAACCATAAACCAACCAACATGATTACAGATAATACAGCTGTGATTGGGCCTCTTTTTTTCTGAATGCATTGCCCTTACAACATCACTCTAATTAGAAAGAGCATTTTTAATTCATTTTTTTTGACAGCTCTATTTTAAGTGGATGTTCTTGAAGTTGCCTCTCTTACTGAAGCTATTAACAATACTGTACCAAGGTGACCTCCATAAAAATCTATATTCCACATATACATTGATCATATAACCGCAGAAGATTTGATCATTTTGCATCACTTGCATCACAATGGTACAATCTCTTCTAATCGTGCACATTATCCCCTGTTCCTGAAGATTTCTTACCTCTAAGGTTACTCATATCTCTAACCCTCTAAATAACAGAGTTTGCAAATACATCTTTGCTTTATTTTAATTAATTAGTGAGCATTGAGGACTCTATGATACAGATGAACACTAGTGGTTAAAAAAAAAGCTGTAACATCATTCCTGGTCTATTAACTACCCACATAGATCACAGTACACCTCTTCTCTTTGGGAAAAAAACAAATTTGATAATCTGCCATGAATTGATTCCATGTCTACTAGATTGACTGTCATCATATACACGAAAAAAGCATGTGGCTGCTTGCATTGTGGAAATGTACTCATGTTTGTGAAGTATGTAGAATGCACAGTTATCCAGTTCAAGGTGTGGTATGCTATTATTCGTATTTATATAGAGCTAATATAGTTTTCAGCGCTTTGCACATAGAAAAAGATTCCTGCTCAAAAAGCTGCCAATCCATGGTAGACCCAAGGACAATTAATGGTGCGGTTGTCTGGCTGGTTTTCAAACCTGAGTTTCCCATTTCTAAGTCAGTGATATTACCTTTGCTTTACCCAGCTAATATATGTAAGGAAGATTTAATTAAATCAAACAATTATTTATAAAGCACTACTATTTTATGCATCTCTTTACAGTGAGGATATATCAAGAAGTGTAGAGCATCCTGCTCAAAAACCAACCACTATCTAGGGCCTGGATTTTTAACCTTTATTTAAACAGACCCACATGATGTACATCGCATTAGCTTGACAACCCAATCTGGAATTGGAAAATTAGATTGATCCATTTAACCACTGACCCATTCATAAAGGGACTCAAAGCAACTTACCTAATACAGTTTATAGAAGGCTATGGGCACAGTGTCTCTGATTTTTGTCATACAAGTTGGGGTTTCCAGTACCTGAAGCTTAACCCATTTGCTTAGCGTGCAATAATCAGAAAGTTTCACATTGTCACCATTTGTCCAAAATTATTGTATGGGTAAGCTTCCTGTGATGATTCTTCGTTACCCTTGTTGGTGAAACCAAATTGATATAGACTAGGGAATGATTCAGTGCAACTACTTCCTGCGTCTAGTAACTTGAAAAGATTTTTTACTTAAACACTACCAATTTTAGGTGAGAAAATATTATTAAACCCTTTTGTGTTTATCGATATCTGGTAGAGTAACCACATAAAACCGTGTATGCATCCATGCCTTCAGACAGCCCCAGTTATTGCAGATTTATTCTTCTCTTACTTGGCAGAGCTAAAAATTGCACAGCCAGGGGTTAATTGTTAGACTGCCTGCTGACAGGAGTAAAGATCATTTATTATTCAGCTTGCTGACTCTTCCCACATGCTGCGGCTGTGCCATCAAGTCACTGCTGTTTTGTTTTGATGGAGGTTCCTTCTGTAGATAAAATGTCATTAATAAATCCTTTCGAGATGCCTATTGTCATACTGTGTATACCATTAAGATCATTTTAGTAGATTAGCAATGCCTATAAGTGACACCATATAGTATATAATATAATACAGTCAAGTGTCCTCTTTTTAGTGTTGTAACAGTTTCTGTTAGACAGGTAGAAAATTATAGGATATTAAATGTTACATTGGCAAAAGCTCCTATGTTCATTTGAAATGTACTTTTATTTGTGCTAGAGTAATTGTATTTGAAAGAGATGCCCAGTTTATAAGTGCTGTGATATTCGAAGTGTTGAGGCTTGTACTGTCATACTAGTTGAGAGGTCCAACGTGCCCATCTCTAGGTGAGAGATTTACCATAGCAGTAAATTTTACATGATGAGTTTTGTTATTGTCATTGATACTTTAACTGCAACATTTACCGTTAATCTGAGCATTTCAACCAATCAGAGGAGAAAAAGTTTTCTGGACTCCAGTAGGGGTAGACATATAAATTAAGTACCAGTCAGTCCCTGTAATACCATTGCTGTACATTTCAAAAACACAGATTTAGAACGTATTTAAGAGAAGTAGTCAGGTTGAAAAAAAGGCTAAGGTCCATCAAGTTCAACCCATTCTTTTAAGCTGCTGATCCAAAAGGAGGCAAAAAAACAGCCATTTCTAGTCATGCTACAAAATGGGAATAAAATCCTTCTTGACTCCATAATGGCAATCCGATTTCTCTCCGGATCAACCTGTTCACATGCATATCCATTATATACTAGAATATTCTGTTTGTGCAAAAAACATCCAAGCCTATATATATATATATATCTTTAGAATCTGATAAGACAACATCTTCAGATAGAGAATTCCACATCTTTATTGTTCTTACTGTAAAGAATCGAATCCTCTGCTGTAAGTGAAAACGCCTTTCTTATATTGTGATGATGCGGCCCTGGTGTCTCTGGCACTGAAGGTGTACCAGTTCAGGCACTCAATTGTCTGTTGGTTTCTTTTACCTAACCTGCACCACTAGCTGTTTAACTAAATGCTAGGACTCAGCTTTGGTAGCGTATCCACTGGCAATGCAGGATATACTGTACTAGTATAGGATATTCTATTTATCTAGTCCTATGCCAATACTCTTTTTAGTAGTTGCCCTATAGAGGACAATGAATAGCAATATACCTGTGAGACCTCAAGGAAGAGATAAACCAGCTTCTTCTGGGCAACTCAAATAACTTAGTTTATTGTAGAAAAGGCCAGCATATAGATAGATCACAAAACACAGTAAAACATAGTGTATAAATATTGATACCAATGGGAATATAGAACTGAGCAGGACAAACAAAAGTTAAGGAGAGAAAAACAAGTAGCAAGAGAGGTGAGAACAGACAACAGCTCAATTAGCCTGCCTTTTGGTGGGTCCCCTCTCTCTCACCTCTCTTGCTACTTGTTTTTCTCTTTTTAAATATAGGCACCAAATCTGCTTTTCTCTCTGGTAAATTCCAGAAAGAAAAGAATCCTGAAAGATTAAAAACAGCGGTATAGATCTTTATACACTAAGCTCCCTAAGCACTCATTGGTGAATACAAACTGAACCTGGAGCTTTTTTTACATTAACTTTATTTAATTGCTGTAGCACTTTAGCCTGTGTTTATTAATCCCCTGCTTGCTGTAAAGCTTTTGTAACATAGATTTACAAATCTACATCCATAGATTCTTCTTACCTAAATACTAAAGAAAAAAAAATCCTGATCTTCCTTGATTGTCACCTAGATTCCAATGGACTAACATTTTCACTCTTTACCTTTTTGACATTAAAGGACCACTATAGGCACCCAGACTATGGGTGCCAGGTCCATCTAGGGTTAACCCTGCCTGCTTTAAACATAGCAGTTTCATAGAAACTGCTATGTTTACATTAGGGTTAATCCAGCCTCTAGTGGCTGTCTCACTGACAGCTGCTAGAGGCGCTTCCGCCTATGGACATCAGAGAAGACACTGATGTCCATAGGAAAGCATTGAGAATGCTTTCCTATGGACTGACTGAATGTGCGCGCGGCTCTTGCCGCGAATGCGCATTCAGCCAATGACGTTGGAAGGAGGAGAGTCCCAAGCCCTGGAGAAAGGTAAGCGTTTAACCCCTTAGTCCCCCTTCGGCCTGGCGGGTGGGGGGCCATGAGGGTGGGGGGGACCTATTAATACTATAGTGCCAGGAAAACAAGTTTGTTTTATAGTGGTCCTTTAATATACTTAAAACCCTTTTTGGGGTTGGCCTTGCTCTCCTTTCACTATGCACTTTTCATTTTCAAGTCCTATTTTAAGCCCTCTTGGCTTGTTTCATTAAGCCACATTGGTTTTAATTTGCTTCTTTTATATTTGTTTTCCAATAGTATGTATTGAGAAATGTACTTTTGTAGAATTTAACTACCTTTCATCTCTCCTCTGTGATTTTGCCAGTGAATAGTTTCTGCCAGTCAGTTTGTTGTAAAGATGCCATTATCCTATTAAAATTAGCCTTTCATAAATTAAGTGTTTTTTGTACACTCCATATAATTTTTTTTTTTATAATCTCAAATGATACCATATTGTTGTAACTATTACCAAAGTGTTCCCTAATTTGAATGTTTCAAAATAATCAACATTATTAATTTTGACAAGATCCAGACAAGCATCTATTTTAGTTGGTGCTTCTACTAATTGAAACATCAATGTGTAATTTATCAGGTTCAAAATTTCCCTTCACTGTACTACTAGTCCCCCCGGCTCAATCAATATCTCTAACACATCACGCAGATGTGCACCCTTATTAATTTGACATAGCTGTTGTTGTTCCCCATCAGTAATAATGTTTGGGGGCTTGTAACATTCCTACAATTAATGGATGTCCTCTGTTTCATCCTATACATATTTCTACCCACAAGGCTTCCACATCCTCATCTATATCATCACATACAATTTTAATAACGCTTGGCTTCAAAACAGGTTCAATATAAATGTATACATCCCACCAAGTCTCAGTAATCTTGATTATGTCATACTGCTCTGTGTATCCCTTCAGCCGATCAGGAACTCTTGCATGGTTAGGGGACTTAGCTTTATGCACTCCCAGGCAGAGGCAGCACTCAGCCCTGGAAGCTCTTAGTCCTCACCAGGACTTTTCCCCTTTGCATCCCCTGCAAGCTGGAACAGCAGACACTGGGGTTAAATCTTGCTTCCCTCCAATAACAGGATGACACACAGTTTTGTAGGTTTAAGCACTGGCCTCTCATAAGGCTGACTCACAATCTTTATTTTGAACATACAGTCTTTATGCTCAGACCCCCACAGGGGGTCTCCACTCAGTACAGCACAATCCCAGGGAGGAGGGGGCTGGGTTACAGATAGCCATCTCCCGCTCTGGGAGATACCAACAGCACACACAGGTAAATCGCACGAAATACATAACCAATAATATTATGGCAAGGTAGCCCATAAATATAACAATGTTAAGAAGCAAGTTTGTAAAGAGTAATTAAACAATACCTCCCAATTAATGTGTGAATTTGATTAGCAGGCACTGGAAATGTGTGGTTGAAGTCAGTGCTGCTAAAGGAGATTAAACGTTCACATACATGTTCCAGTTAAAACAAAGAATAGAAGCCAAAGGCAGTAAGCACTGTGGCATATATGTATGGTGGCAATTATGGAGTTAATCTGCCTTGTCTGCGATTGGAATGTTGGGGAGAATTACCAGATTTTACTAATTACATGACGTAAAGGACACGGAGGCGAGTATTAGGCTTATCTCTTTCTTTTATTCCTCAGCAGCAAAGAAAGCTAAAGTATTTTGTAATATAGAAAATATGAACAAAATACCCTCACAGGGTTAAACCATTACATCACTATATCCTATAGAATAAGAACAGTCCACATAACATATAGTTCCATGTGACCCCCATCTCTTCCTCTTTCCTGTTGATGCCGAAGCTATTATTTAATAATCGCAATAAACCAATCAACTGAAACATCAGAGAACGTGCAGGTAACTGAAATTCTTGGCAACGGATCCTTCCTAGAGAGAGAGACGGATCTTCGGACCTGATCCTCTCGAACTGTGGAAGATGTCGATGTTGTCATGATGTCATAACTTTCAGGCTTGAGGGGGACAGAGAGAACAAATGGTAAAATAGGTTCTCCCAACTATTTTCATATTATCATAGTATTAAACCATTCTAAATATAATCCTTTACTATCTGAATCACACATTTCTATGGTAACTGTTGAAATTTTTGAGTCAGGCATTAAACAACAAAGACTCGACCATGTACTATGAACAACTTCTCACATATCTGGGTTGGGATACAAAAAGTCCAAGCTTACCATGTCTGGGTGGGCTAATACTCGCCTCTGTGTCCTTAATAAAATCACGACTCTGGTAATTTTATTAAAAGGTCACGGAGGCTCTTATTAGGCTAGTTTAAAGCTGTGAAATAACCGCAGATGAAACATGTTCTGTAGGTCTAAAACAGTATTCTCTAAACGTAGATTCACAGGACCAATCCGCTGTTCTGAGATAGTCTTCCAATCTACAGCCCAAATTGAAAATCTTTGAAACCATGGCTCCTCTAGTAGAGTGAGCGCTATATATAGATGTATCCACGTCCTCCAAGGTCATTATCCATTTCACCCATCAGGCTATCGTGGATACCGGGTGATGAGGCATTTTGGTGGCTAAAAACTATTCTTGATGTACTGGACTCCTGAATTCCCGGGTTTGTTTTTCGTATTCCTGTAGGCAAGCTACCGGGCAGAGGTTGACATTATGTGGGAATGCCGGATAGGAAACCTAGGTAGTCGATGATTTAGTTCGTCTGGAAATGTTGAATGACTCTCCCGTGGGTGTGAAAGATCGTGCATCTATGTCTAATGCCCGGACATCTGAGACCCGTTTGCAGGATATCAGGCAAAGTAGCATGGCCAGTTTTGCTGATAGTTGTTTAAGTGTGAGTCCCTCATTTCATGGCCATGATTCAAACGAAAGACTAGGTTCACATCCCACACCATCGTGTTTCGAGGCTGGGGTGGTTGAGCAAATTTTATACCTCGTAGGAGCTGGCACACCAGCGGTTGCTGGCCAGCCGGAGTCCCCTCTAGGCCTCGATGGCCGGCCGAGATAGCCGATCTGTAGACGTTATAGGTACGGTAGGCCAGTCCTCGGTTATATAGATTGGTAAGGAAACTTAACAGCTAGGTCAGAGGAGCACGTACAGGATCTACCTGTTGTTCCATGCACCAACTACGCCATCCGTTCCAGGCATATTGGTAGGATTGTCTCGTTCCAGGTGCCCATGCCCCTGCCAGTAGGTCGAGTGTCCTGTGAAACATCTGGTATGATCCAGGGTCCCTGGAAAGGAGCCATGCTAAGAGTCTGAGGTTCCCCTGAATTAGCAGGGGGTGTGGGTTGTCCTCTGGATCCAGTATAAGGTGTGAGACATCGGGTAGTAATCTCGGAAGGTCGATGGACAGGGATGGGAACCAAGGTTGCGCAGTCCAGAATGGAGTTATGAGGACCAACGATGTCTGGGCTTGTCTGAGCTGTACTAATGTCCATGCTATGAGAGCGAAAGGAGGAAATGCATACAATCGACTCCTCGGCCAGTGTTGGAGGAAGGCATCCGCTGCTAGGGCGTCTGGGTCTGGTCTCCAGCTGAAGAACATTGGTAACTGGGAGTTCAAACGATCAAACGAGATGCAGACAGGTCCATGGACATCGGGCCCCAGAGCGTTTGAAGTTGTAGGAATGTTTTGCGATCCAGCCGCCAATCGCTGGCGTCTCACAGATGTCTGGAGTTCCAATCCGCTACTATATTGAATAGACCGGGGATATATACAGCTTGGACCGAAATATTGCGATCCTGGCAGTGTTGCCAAAATTCTTTGGCCAGGTCTGTCAGGATTTGTGATCTCGTGCCACCTAGTACTATCGAGCAATTGCTCATGATTCCAAGGAGGCTCTTCAGAGCAAAGGAACTTGCCATGAGTTCCAGGCCGTTGATGTGCAGTTCTTTTTCTGATATCGACCATTTGCCTCTGGTGGAGACAGGCCCGCAGCGCGCTCCCCAAACCTTGTGTACTCGCATCGGACTCTATGATGAAGTCCGAAGCAGCTCCGAAGATTGCTCTGCCGTTCCATGCTTCCATGTGTTGTAGCCACCAGGTGAGTTCCTGTTTGGCTTCGTGGTCGAGAGGAACGGAGTTGGAGTATGAGTGCCCCAAGCGTAAATGTGTGGCCTTTAGCCGTTGAAGCGCCCTGTAGTGGAGGGGTCCTGGAAAAATTGCCTGTATGGAGGCTGAGAGGAGGCCGATTATCCTGGCCAGTTGCCGTAAGGTTAATATGGGACGTGACAATGTCCTGCATATTTCTTTCTTGATGCTCTTGACCTTGGTAGACTGAGCGTTCCTTTTGTCGCGTCTATATTGAATCCCAGAAATTCCATGGTTTGGGATGGGGTTAATATTGATTTAGAATCCCAAATTTTGTAGAAGGGACAGTGCCCAGGAGATGTGTTGTCGTAGTAGTTGGGTGTCGTGTGCCATGATCAGCATTTCGTCCAGATATATGATCATCCGTACACCCCTGCTGCATAGGAGAGCTACCACGGACTTTAGCAGTTTGGTGAAGCACCACGGTGCCGATGATAGTCCAAAGGGGAGGCATTGGAACCTACACGTCGTCCCTTCCCATTGGAATTGGAGAAGGTTCTGGCAATCTTTTGCAACAGGGATTGTGAGGTAGGTGTCTTGTAGGTCTAGTTTGACCATCCAGTCCTGCAATCTGAGGAGGTCCCGAAGGCAATGGATTCCCTCCATTTTGAAGTGGTGGTATCGCACAAATGCATTTAGGGGGCGTAAGTTGATGACTGGACGCACCCCCCCACCTTTCTTGGGCACTAGGAAGAGGTTGCTTTCGAAGCCGTGAGAGTATGGCGGGACCCGATAGATCGCGCCCTTCTCTTGCAGTGCGAGGATTTCCTCGCTTACCAGGGTCTTGTCATGTGCGGAGAAGGCTATCTGATGTGGTCTGGATGTTTGGACAGGGTGTTGAATAAATTCGATTTGGTACCCTAGGACCGTATGTAGGACCCAAGCGTCAGTCGTCAGTGTGTACCAGGTCTCTATAGAGTGAGACAGTCTGCCGCCCACTATAGATATACACGGGGAAAGGGGTGGTAGTACACTTACCATAAGGCCGTCGGCCATACAAGGTGCCCCTGGTTCCTCGTGCTTGCCACGATCTGACCCTGACCGGGAAGAATGGCGAAGGGGGCTTTGTCTCCGGAGGTTGAAACCTAGGTGTGGCAGGGCCTCGATATCCTCAGTATGAACCTCGGGAAGAGCGGCCGGACAGATGGCCCTGGTGTCTGCCGGCCCCGCCAAACATTTTGGGAGAGAACACTCTCTTTAAATTTGTTTGTGCCTTGTCCAATGCCATAAAGGTGCTGGCGTAGTTACCCAGCTCCTTTACGAACGTATCTCAGAAGAGAAATCCTTTTGCCTGTGGCCCAGGCTCAGATATGGCCATATTAACCAGTTTCGGTTCGATTTTTATAAGGATGGCCTTCCTTCGCTCTGTGGCTAGAGGTGCATTTGCATTGCCGATGAGGCATATGGAACGTTGGACCCAAGCCCTAATGGCCAGCAGATCGATAGGGGTCCCATCAGTTAAGGCCACTTCAACCATCTCAAATATTTTTGCACTGGGGCCTAACGTGTCCAGTACCTTGTCCTGGCAGTGGCGTAAGGAGTAGTCAAGCCCCTTTTTCGCCTTCCAGCCATGTCGGAGACCATGGGGCGCGGGCATTCCGCCCTAAGTTTGTTCCTTGTGGCCTTGTCCAGGGGTTTCCTGATCAAGGCCGCTATATAATGCGCCACATGCCCGGTCGGGATCTATTCTGCCGACCTTGGGTTCTGTAACTCATCGGGATCAAATAGGGGCTCCCCTTGTGGGTCCAGGATAGCGGATGTATCCGCGTTGTCTATGGTGGGTATGGCTGTTTTGCATGTTGGGCTGTGGCCCTTGGAGGAAACCTCCGATTCAGTGGACTCGTCATCGGACTCGTTCAAGACCTCCTCCGAATCCGAACCCAAGTCAGATGAGTCTGATAGTGCTTTTGCCCCTTTCCATGTCCGCCCTTTTTTTACCCGGCGGGTGGCTCTTTTTCGTGGGGGCCCCACGACCTCAATGTTGACAGGACGCAACCTGTCCGTAAAATCAGTTTTGGAGACATGCGCACCAACGTGGTGGGTCTTTGCAGTAGCTTTACGGCCGCCCTGCGCTAAAGGCTTATTTTCAGGCACCTCAGGCTTACGGTTATACTCCATACTGGCGTTAGTAATGGAGTGGGAAAGAGTGTCAGACATTGTCCCCATAGCGGAGTAAATAGCCTGGGTGACCGATTGGTCATAGTAGCGTCTAAAAGGGAATGGAGTTCCTCTGAGTTTAGTTGTTCCATAGGGGTTAACTCATCCCCTTGGCTGGATTGGGGTCCAGGCTCCGTGGTTATTGGATGCCTGGAGACACTCACTGCCAAAGTGGGTGCAGTGCTAGGGTGATCTTTAGGGGTCTGCATGGTATTAGCAGGAGAGAACTAAGCAGGCTGTATAGTACAATAAGAAACAGTGGGCAGTTATTTGGCTGTCAAATTTAACAGTCTTCAATCACCTACAGCAGTGATAGGTAAAGAAATTGCAGGCAAGGCACAGAACAAAAGACTGAGCTGTCAGCTTACCGAGTGTTCCCTCAGGAATGGCCGCTGGGGTGCACTGGCAAGCTGACAGACAGTTGTCTGGCCCAATCAGCTCGCGCCCACCCCTCAGTGGGCTGCACGAGCCGGGAAAAAAGCGCGACAAAGTTTTGCCACACACAATATGGCCGCCGCGGTGCGCGGCCGCCACTGCGCGAGTGGCACCCGACCGTGGGTCGGCCCAGACGGAACGGACAGTTCCCAGGAGGATGCCCCATGTCTGGGTAGCCGGCCGCTGCAATCGGCGCTAGATTAGGGTAATAAGCTACCCAGAATGCAAGGGAAAATGGAATGGGCGGCAAGCTGAAGCAGCTCACCCCTAGGTGGCTCCCATGAAGGGGCCAGCACAAAACAATTAACAGTAAGACATTAAACAGTTGTAAATTAAAACATTGAACTCGGTGAACAGTACAGTATTACACCAAATATACAGATATAAACACAGGCAGTAAAAACCTGTCAGAGTGAAATTAAAATGGTGGTACTTAGCTGAGGCAGCAGCAAAGAAAGAGGAAGAGATGGGGGTCACATGGGACTATATGTTATGTGGACTGTTCCTATTAGATAGGATATAGTGATGTAATGGTTTAAACCTGTGAGGGTATTTTGTTCATTTTTTCTATATTACAAATACTTTAGCTTTCTTTGCTGCTGAGGAATAAAAGAAAGAGGTAAGCCTAATAAGAGCCTCCGTGTGCAGAAGTGATGACACTGCTGTTGCTGGGGGCTGGAAATTGGTTGAAGGTGGCAAGCATAAAAAGAGCGGGAAACTGGGGCAGTATAAAAAGCAGCAGCCAGAGTGCAATTCTGTCAGAGTGTAGTGAAGCAGGAGTGGTGCGGACGGACCCAGCTCACCCTCCCTTTAATTTTATGTAATTGTAATGTCAGGGTATTTTGAAGCATGATACACAAGTCATCCTCAGGGTCAAGTTCTGAGGAACGATATGGTGGTTTTAAATAAAAGGCGGTCAGGTCATCTAAGACTGACTGGCACTTTGGTGGTTAATAAAGTTAAAAGTTTTAAACGTTTATGTTATATGGTTATGGTTATAAAATTATGTTTGTAAGCCCATTAAGCTTTAAATAAACATCACGCCAAGCCCATAAAAAATAAAAAATACGTCTTTGTGTTACCTATTTAAAGTGACATTATATTTTATATTTGCTTCTTAAATAGCCAGAAAATATTATATTTCTGAATTTGGTGGAAGATATGCTCCAGGCCAAGGATCACTATGCACATATATGATTCTACTAAAAAAAGGGTAAAAGTACCAGCGCTAATATTACAATACAAAGTGATACAATTATATCAGGAATACTATTGATCTCTAGCTGCTATAACACCCCAAACTTATCTTTCAAAATTGTAGTACAAACCGGTGTATGGGTGAAGCGCTATATGTAAATAGATCAAAGTGAAGAGATAATACCAAGTGATGAACACCAAAATACTGAAATTATACCTTCTTTTTATATGTAATTCACAATAATTCTTTATAGGAATTTCCTAAAACATAAACAGAAAGATCCAAACATAGTGCAAATCTGTAATGTTTAAAGGTGTGGTAGAAATATACAAAGGTCCCACTCACACTTTTAGGAGCTAAAGAGGTATAGCTCAATTGAAGCACTTTCAGAGTCCGTAAAGGCGACCCTTATCCCTTCTTTTAACTCTTCCTTTCTTGTATTCTGAAATGTATAAAGGAAAATACCTCTGGTGCAGTAACGTAGACTAGGTATATGCAAGTAGTAAGGGAAATAGGGTACTTACAAACCCAGAGCCATCCACATCGGCTCTGATCCAATAGCTTGTGTGGATTAAGGACCACACTCCTATGATTCTACTGCTTAGAGTTTCTCTCCTACCTGAACTGAAAGCATAGCTAACGTTTTCCAATTGACCTTAAATTTGAAATTGACCTTGAATTTTCACTTTAGTGAACAACCCTTTATACCAGGCCTGTCCAACCTGCGGCCCCCAGATGTTGCTGAACTACAACTCCCATGATTCTTTCAATTAAACAGATAGCCAGGGAATCATGGGAGTTGTAGTTCAGCAACATCTGGGGGGCCACAGATTGGACAGCCCTGCTTTATACAGTAACAGGAGTCTTAAATGACAGCAATTTTATAAACACATTGCACATAAAAAATATGTTGTGGCCATGACTCTGTTTGTTTTTGTGTTACAGTGTGCGCAGAAGCCTACAATCCAGATGAAGAGGATGACGACACAGAAACAAGAGTAAGTCAGTAGATACGGGGGCATTTACAGTACATAAGTGACCATCCAGACACAGTATAGATCCCCATATTGGTTCTAATTTGGGAATGAGGGAATGAGGGGATAATTGGAGCAATTATTTTTTCTGCAATGTACCTCCCTTCTCCATTCACAGCCTCATGTTTCCCTTGCAATTAAAACAATCAATTCCCTCCAAACCCCCCATTTACATTACTGTAAAGATTTGTCTTCCCTACCACATATGCAGAAACAGAGCACACTGACCAAAAGAAAAATCAGACTATTACAAATGCCTGCACAGATATACACATGCAGACATATATTCACACATGCATAGCTGTAGATCTCTCCATTTTTAGACACATGCCAAATGGGATGCTGTTTTGATGCTGCACCTGACTTCCCCTCTGTTACCCTCAACATATCTGCTGCACTTTCCTTTCCCTCAGTCTAAAAATTCTGAATTTTGCATGACATGATTTCCCGTGGGCCCTGGCATGGATGCACAGCAGTAGTTTAGCCCCTGTTTCTCTATAGATAGTCATTAAAAGGTGCAAGGTGGAGAGTGTCCCTACAGAACAATATTAAAACTTAATAGCTATAAATAATTTGTAACTGTCTGGCAATAGATAATAATTGTGGTAAAATATGCCATTCTCTGTCAGCAGATATTATAATAATGTTCTTGTAGCTGGTTCAGAACAGACACTTAAAATGCAGTATTCATCACTAAGTTTACTAGTTGTTGACACAAGGTTAACCAATATGCATTGGGTTCAACTACAGAGCTGTCCATCACTAGTTATCTTAATAGTTCTCTATGAATCTGAATTATTTAAAAATATTTACATGTACCATAACCAAATATGCTCCATACATAGGCTGTGGTGAAAATTTGGGGAAAGCATTGCCCATATAAGACCTCATCATACAATCCTCTGCAACCTTCACTAACCTTTACAGAGTGTATGCCATGATGCTTTGTCATTCTCAGCTAGTATTTTGTTAGCAGACAACTATACGTATGTTACAGATTTTTTAACCGATTTATAAAAACTTTACAAGTATATCTAACAGTTTGCACTCTTTCCTGACTCCATGCCGGTTTCCAAAGATCCTCTATTGGTGGGTGACGGGCTTCTGGCTTTCTACAGAGCTGCAGAAGCTGCAGAACTGCAGAAGTCGATCCAGTTGGCATTCATACTGTGCATAACAATTTGCACAGAATTGCCTTTAGCCAGCGCAAACCTCTTGTTCCACTCTGGCCACCCAAATGATGCACCTTCAGACTCCAGGCATCATGACCACTTCAAATCACTGAACATTTACATTCTGAGCTGTCTGCTTTGGAGGTGAGTGGCAGGCTCCTTCCCATCACTCCTGACACTATGCAATAAGAGAAAAGGTATTTATGTAAATGTAGTATATGTATATTTATTCTCTTACAAAAGCCAATATGAAAACTTTTAAATGACACTTTAAAATTGTATACATACATTGGGTCATTTAAGGCCAAAATTAATACTGTCGCATTATATTTATATATATTGTAGGTTATCCATCCAAAGACAGATGATCAACGGAACAGACTGCAAGAGGCCTGCAAAGATATTCTTCTCTTCAAGAGCCTGGATCAAGTGAGTGTTCACATACATGCATTGATACATGTATCTCTTCCCTTTACCCCCTCATTGCTCTAACACAGTACACACTACACATTAACGTTTACATCACCCTAACACAAAATACTAAACTGTAACCTCTACACTACAATCTAACTTATAAACTAAATTAACACAAAATATTAACCTCTACAGTACACTAACACTAATCATTTACACCTACATTACCTTAACATGTACACTAACCTTAATCTAAAAGTCTCATGCATATGAAAGGTTCATTTGTGTAGGCTGTATTATGGGAAAGTAATACACTCCACAATTGTGAGAAAGTAATTCACTGGCCACAATATCAAAACCACCTGCCTGATATCGAGTAATCCTCCCTCATGATGCCAAAACAACTTCGATGCGTCAAGGCATGAATTTTACCTCTGAACTTGTCCTTTTGTATCTGGCACCAAGATATAAGCAGCAGATCCTTTAAGTCCTGCAAGTTGCGAATTGGGGCCTCCATAGATTGGATTTCTTGTTCCAGCACATCCCATGGATGCTCAATTGGATTGAGATCTTGGGGATTTGGAGGCCAAGGCAACACTTTGAACTCTTAGGCATATTCCTGAAACCATTCCTGAACAATTTGTGCACTGTGGCAGTGTGCATTATTGTGCTGAAAGAGGCCACTAAGGGAAAACCATTGTCATGAAGATGGTCTGCAAGGCAGGTGGTACGAGTCAAAATAACATCCACACAAGTGCCCATAATGCATCCTTCTGCAAACTTTACACATGCACCTGACCATCTATCTGATCTAAAAGAAAACATGACTCATCAGATCAGACAAACTTCTTCCATTGCTCCATGGTCCAGTTGTGACACTCACGTCCCCTTTGAATGTGCTTTGCGGTGAACAGGATTTATCATGGGCACCATGCCTGATCTGCGACTATGCAGCCCCATATACAGCAAACTGCAATGCACTGTGTGTTCTGACACCTTCTATCATGGCCAGCATTACGTTTTTAAGCAATTTGAGCTTCAGTAGCACTTCTGTGTAATCGGACCTTTGCTCCCCATGTGCATCAATGAGCCTTGGGCACCTATGACCCAGATTCCAGTTTGCCAGTTGTCTTTCCTTGCACCACTTTTGGTAATTACTAGCCTCTGCATACTGGGAATACCCCACAAGACTTTACATTTTGGAGATGCTCTGACCCAGTAATCTAACCTTCACTATCTGGCCCCTGTCAGAGTCACTCAGATCTTTTTGTTTACCCATTTTTCCTTGCTCTCATCACATGAAATTCAAGAACTGACTGTTCACTTGCTGTTTAACATGTTCCACCCCTTGACAGGTGCCATTGTAACAATATAATCAGTGTTATTCACTTTTCCTGTCAGTGGTTTAAATGTTGTGGCTGATCAGTGTAGAGCAATATATGTTTATTAGTTTTAGTAGATATTTCTTTAAAATTGATTTCTTTTTGATTAGATTAACATTATCTAAAATCTAAATTGTTTTGGTGGTGTTATGGGTTTAAATGTTCTATGTAACCTGCCTCATAATCTTGACTTTCTTTTTAGATTCATAACAGCATTGTGCAATCTGTCTGTGAGCCATGGGGGTCCTTTAAAATTAAATACATAAGCATTTCTTGGCTTCAGATAGTGCCTAGATCACTGAAGTGGTTTCAAAGCTAATTATGTGGTAGCAAATGGATTTTTAGAGCTTTCTGTCATAGTAGATCAGTTAAAATTGAGATAATGTTTTAACCCCTATTAAAATAGAAAACAAATAACTTAACTGCAGTTGGGGAACCAAAACCATAACAATAGAGTACTCTGATTAGACAAACATAGATTTTATTTGATATCTCTATTTATCCTGAAAATTGCCACCTCCATCTTAACTCACTGTCTACAAAGGAGGAGCCTAGTTGCCGGGTAAAGAGAGATGTCAAATGGAATTTGCCTGGGGATTTAACAAGAAGATAGAGTATTGATTGACATTGTTTCAGTTTTGAAAGATCGAGCATGGTTTCACATTGTTTTATGCATAGACTTTTGCACTATGAATGTTTTGTGATTTATTTCTTTTATTTTTTGTTTTATTTAAAAGGACACTCCAGGCACCCAGACCACTTCTGCCCATTGGAGTGGTCTGGGTGCCAACTCCCACCACTCTTAACCCTGCAAGTGTAATTATTTCAGTTGTAATAAACTGCAATAATTACCTCTCAGGGTTAAGTCCTCCTCTAGTGGCTGGCTGTCAGACAGCCACTAGAGGGACTTCCATGTTCTTAGAACACGAAAAGTGTTTTAAACAACGCTGGCGTCCTCACGCTATGCATGAGAACCTCCTGCGTCGCCAGAATCCTCATAGGAAAGCATTAAATAATGAAGCGGCTGACGTCGGCGGGGGAGGAGTGTGGACGGAGCCTGACCATGCGTCGATGTCCCTCACCTCTTCAGCAACATAGGATGGGGGTGGGAGGGAGAGGGGCACTGCAGGGTCCTGCAGTGGCAAGAAGAAAAAGGAAATGTTTTCCTGGCACTGGAGAATCCTTTTAATTTACATATTTATAGCTACTCTCTTGGTCCTGTAAGCACCTTCCACTTAATTTATTATTATTTTTTTATTGTATTGATTTATTTTTAAATGAACAGTCTTTATTAAAATAACATATTTGAAATACTAACTGAAAGTGTCATATCTTTTGTTTTCAGGAACAGATGTCCCAAGTACTCGATGCCATGTTTGAAAAATTGGTTAAATGTGGAGAACACATAATTGATCAAGGCGATGATGGAGACAACTTTTATGTAATCGACAGGTATAGAAGCATAATTGTGCAAATATACATTCTCTGCCCATTTAGAGAAGCACATACAGTTAATGACACAGATTATAACATTAGAATACTGAGCCACAAGGTCATTAAGAAATTAATAAAATGGGAGATAGTCCATGGAGCTGAAGGAACACAACTACACGGGAAATTAATTCTTGTGTGGACCCAAGATTAGCTGGTCAGTTTAATACGAGTCTTCATTTTGGACATTGTAAAATTTGTCCGTCTATCTTTTACAGTCAAATTTCGAAGGTGTGTAGGCCAGCAAGAGATTGCTGCAGCTTGGATTATAAGCTCATGGGCTATTTCAACGGCAGAAGTAGCACTGGTGCAGCCAATGCATAGACACCAGGGCATCCAAGCTTGTGGTTCCAACATATAACTCTCACACTTAAGACCACCAATGGTCCTACCAGATGGGCCCCACGTCCCTTTAACAGTGTGATTGGGGCCCTGATAGCAAGGCCACTATAGGGGATGTTAAAGCTAGTAAGGGGTCCTATAATGGTGTGTTGTCTGGTTTGGGGCCAGAATACAATGTGGATCTGACACTGCACGGGCCCCTTAAACGATAGTACAACATTCCGCCACACTGGGAGGAAGCGACGTCCGATCGTTTCTCCCAGCGTTTAAAGTAAGTCGCGTGGGCGGAAAGAACAACCCAGCAAAGCCCCTTGAAAGACAGATTCCCACTGGCCCCTAGAGAAGCCACACTCCTGATAAAAAGTAGGCAAAGAGTAGGGTGGCCGAAACTACTTACATTTTTAATATCTAAGTTTGTGTATGCTTCTGTCAGTGTTTGTGTATTTGCATCTGCTGTTGTGTGTATCTGCTGGTGTGTGTGTGATTGACAGTGGGTTCGTATGTTTGCCGGTGCATGGCTTTCACCCTGCATGTTGTGTATGGTTGTAAGTGTGTAATGGTATCTATGTGTGTCTGGCATTGAGAATCACTGTGTGTGCATGTCTCTCTGGTAGTTATTACAAAATGCATTTCAGTATGCCACATCATGTATCTGGGTGCGTGTGTATATCTGTGAGTGAGTCTGGCATGTATATATATGTTTAAGTTTGTATGTGTGTGTCAAGGAACATATGTGTGGGTTGGTGAGGGCCCAGCCACTGGGTGTGTAAGAGGTTCTAAATGTTATGGTAGCCATGCCTGTTGTATCGGCAGTTTGCTCAAAGTCCTAGGAGAAAGTGAATTCAGGTCACTTCCTCCCAACTAACCATAATGCTGCGCGGTGACAGTGAAGAGAGAGGAGAAGGCAGTAAGAGAAGGGTGGTGAATTAAGAGAGCCTGGAGAGCCTAACTCAGACTCCCAAAAGCCTCAGCTAGCATCTAGATCCTGGTGGACCCCCAGGGAAGCCATCCCCCTACATCCATAAGGTATGGAAAAAGGAGAGTGGCTAAAAATATGTAAATTATGAATTCCATCTTCACCCAGCGAGAACTCCGAGCAGAATGAGCTTTCAAGGCAGAAATATGTTTTCTGATAGCCTTCCCACTCTTTGAAAGCTCAGTCAGAGATTTCTGATTGGTTGACTTGTAAGCAATCCAATGTGAGTACTCTGACATGTAAATCTCACTTCTATCGAAACTTGTCATGTCAATATTCCGACTCCAACAGATCTTTTTGGATCTGTTGGGGTGCTCTGCCCATATTCTATTTCCAGTATAAGCATATTCAGATTGATTGTACTGCTCGAATCACTACTTTGTATAAGACAGCCAATGAAAGTTGACAGTTCAGTGACTGACAGATACACTAATCAATAACCGTTCAGAGAAGTGTAATGACTGACTCTCCATCTTTCCTACACTGTTGCCAATCTTTCAAGCTAATGGACATGGGGGGGGGGGGAGGCACTTAATAATGGTCAGTTTGGGGCTCTCCTCTAAACGCTTTAACTGCTCCCTACTTTCCTATGTAGCCAAATGAATGAGCCAGATCAGGTCCCAATTTTAAGCCCCAAATGCCACCCTTTAAACAGTAAATAGCTGAACTCCTGCTTACACTTATAATCAATCAAGCATGGCTGTATAGGGTAAAAATAGCAAATGATTTAAAAAAATCTCAGTTTAACAAGTTTTGCTTTAAGTCCTTTATTTCTACCCTTTTTGTGAGCTAGTAGAAATAGGAAAACTGTGCTATAATAAGTCATGAGTGCACATGTTGGTAATAGCTACAGGAGGAAAATATATCTGCAGCTGGATTTTAAATGAGTCAGATGTCTTTCCTAAAGTTTTACTACTCATCTCATGTGAATAAATCATGACATCTGTTTGGTAGCTTTCTAATTATGCAATTTGGCATCCAATGTCATTGCAAACTGGCTAATTCTACATCTGAAATTTACAAAAGCAGAAACAATCTATCTTAAATCTGTACATATCAATAAGATGCCACATTCATGGAAGTCAGTGTAATGTAGCAACAGGTTTTATCTGTAATGTTCATACTTAGAGGACACAATAGTCACCAGAACCACTAAAGCTTGTAGTGGTTCTGGTATTTATACCATGTCCATAACACCCCAATATGTGTTCAGCAACATCTCCTGAGTACAACAGTGACCCCAATGTACAGGTTTTATTGGTTTTTGCAAACTTATAGGGGTCAAATGTAGGACTTTCCCCTTTTCCATGTTTGCACATTGAATTTTGCCAGATTGGTTTATGTAAAAGTACTTCGATTTTATATATATATATATATATATATATATCACATGGCCCGCGAGAGACGGATCGGGCAGGGGCGTCTTCCTGAGTTTCCAGGCAGACCCAGGATCGCGATCACCGGCGGGGATCAGGTAGATTTACTTGGTACGTCCACGGTTATTACCCATAGGTTTTTGGCGGACATGCCTGGTATTTCATTGGTCAGGAAAGGGTTTAACCCTGTGAGTTGCGAGCTGTGGCTTCCATGAATTGGATCTGTTGTTCCAGCACATCCTACAGATGTTTAATCAGACTGAGATCTGGGAATTTTGAGGGCAAGGCAACACCTTAAACTGTTTGTCATGTTCCTCAAACCATTCCTGAACAATTTTTGCACTGTGGCAGGGTACATTATCCTGCTGAAAGAGGCCACTGCCATCAGGGAACGCCATTGCCATGATGGGGTGTACGTGGTCAGCAACAATTTCTAGGTTGGAGGTACCTGTCAAAGTAACATCCACAATTATGCCAGGACCCAAGCTATCCCAGCAGAACATTGCGCAGAGCATAACACTGCCTACGCCAGCCTGCTTTCTTCCCATAGTGCATTCTGTTGCCATCTCTTTCCAGGTAACCAAACAACCAAACACACGTGCCTGGCCATCCACCAAATCTAAAAGAAAACTTGTTTCATCAGACCAGGCAACCTTCTTCCATTGCTCCATGATCCAGTTCTGATGCTCATGTCTCCATGGAAGGATCTTTTGATGGTGGACAGAGTCATCATGAGCACTGTAACCAGTTTGTGGCTACGCAGCTCCATATACAGCAAACTTCGATGCACTACTGTATAGGCACCAGTGGTGTATAGGCACTTACATCACTATACTAAATAGTGTGTATATAGGTTTATTAAATCAGGCGATTCCCCTACCACCTAAAGCAACAATATACCAAAGAAAAAGACAATAAAAATTCATTCATTCACCCCAGAGGGAACACACTAAGATACTTATATGAATCCCCAAGTATGGTTAACCGCAACTATGACAGCAGTAGGAATAAGAATAGAGCCCTGCTAAATTAATCAATTTCCTGGTTGGGTGTGGGTCACGCCACTTCTGGCACTGTTTCGGTGACGTCACATCCGATGTATTGTGCTTAGTGTGTTCACTCTGGGGTTTACGAATTTTTATAATTTTTTAAATTTGCTATTCAGATCTTTTCGTTTGTCGATTTTCCTACCGGTTATCCTTCCTCGCACAACTTTTGGTAATTACTAACCACTGCATACTGGGAATACCCCACAAGACTTTACATTTTGGAGATGCTCTGACCCAGTAATCTAGCCTTCACTATCTGGCCCTTGTCAGCGTCACTCAGATTTTTCCTGCTTTCATCACATGAAATGCAAAGAGCTGACTGTTGACTTGCTGTGTAATATATCCCACCCCTTAAAAGGACACTATAGGCACTGTGACGGAGCTCCTGTACTCTGACCGAGTAGCTCCGCCCAGTGTGCTTCCTAACCGCTTGTCGGGACCCTGGGATACTTCAGACCCTGGTCACCGAGGCTTGAGTGAGGTCCCTCTGGAGCTTTACCACAGCTCTCCTTTCAGGCTAGTATAGATCCCTCTGCCTATTCCACTGCAGCCCTTCTTCCTGGCAGATATTGTCCCTTTTGCCTATTCCACTGCAGTCCTTCTTTCATGCAAGTATTATTCCTCTGCCTAATCCTTACAGTGATTATAGCTATTTCATTTACAAAGGCACTTGCCGCTCTCAGGCCTAGCTCACATTATTTATCCCAGGGCTTGAGGGATCCTGCAATCAACCAACAAATCTGAGGAATCTGTCACTGGGATCCCAAAAAATTCAAACAGGACACAAGTTCCAAAAGGAACTAACATACAAAACTTTATTTTTTCTTTGGATTGGCCCAAATGCACCTAACATGTAGCTTATGTTGACAATTCAATAAAAATACAAATAATCAAAACATATCATAAGGCATACAGGGAATTATAATAACACAATAACATATCTACAGAGAGGTGGGAAAGTCAATAACCAACACAAAATATCTCTCCTGCCTGTAGAATTAGAAATATGCAAATCTAATTGAATATGCAAATTAACTATCCTTGCTATTCAGTTAGTGCATATTGATGTTGCTACCAGCAGAGGGTGGTTTACAGGCTCCATAGGCAAATCCACAAGTTGGTAACAAGCATCAGCAGGACAGGAGAGCATACAAAACAATTAACAATATACAAACACATTATAAACACCCTGCACCTATAATGGGTATAGGGTGACCTAGACATAGGAACAATTTAGGAACCTTTGTAAAGTGTCCTTCTGCTCCCAGTGATGTTGACTACTGTCACAGGCACCCAGACCACTTCAGCTCATTGAAGTGGTCTGGGTGCAATTTCCCATGTCTCTTAACACTACAGTGGTAACTATTGCAGTTTTTGAGAAAGACAGCCACCAGAAAGCCATTAGAGGGACTCCCGGGTGCTTGGACGACTATTAGTTGTCTAAATGACGCTGGACATCCTCCCGCTATGCAGGAGGACTTCCAGCGTCACTGGAATCCTCATAGGAAAGTATTGATTAATGCTTTCCTATGGGGAAATCCTAATGCGTGTGTAGACATTGCCGCGCATGCGTATTGGGTCTTCCCTTCCCGGCTGACGTCGGTGGGGGAGGAACAGGGGCGCATCCTGACACAGTGCCGAGGCACATTGGTGCTGAATTCAGGTGAGTGACTGAACGGGTTTTAACCCCTTCTGCGTCTCAGGAAGGTGGGGAAGCGAGGTAGGGAGTTCTGTAGGAACCTATAGTGCCATGAAAACTGCTTTTTTTCCTGGCACTATAGAATCCCTTCAAAAGGTGCCAGTGTAACGATATAATCAATGTTATTCTCTTCATAATCAATGTTATTCTCTTCACCTGTCAGCGGTGTAATGTTGTGGCTGATCAGTGTATTAACCCTTACCTTAAAATATCTGAACAATTCTACTCCCTGCTACATATATTTTCTCTAATGCATTGGAAATGTATTCTTCTCAGTCACTCTGCTTCAAAAACTGCAATATTTTACATTGCTGAGTGTAAATTGCAGGGCCACTGCAGCCAGATCACTTCATTAAGTTTATCCACTGCTTCATTTCTCATAATACTTTACTCACTACCCCTTTCATGTCTCCCTCTTTATCTCACTATTTGTCATGACTTCTCTCACTCTGGAAACCTTCCTGTATAACCTTTTCACTTTTTTAAAGCTAAATTCCGGTCTGTGAATGGCCAGACTGTATATTGCAAATGACAGTAATGTGTCTAAATTAATATGTACATTTTCTTTTTTATATATATAACAGGGGGACCTATGATATATATGTAAAGATCGATGGAGTTGGAAGGTGTGTTGGCACTTACGATAACCATGGGAGTTTTGGTGAATTGGCATTGATGTACAACACACCAAGAGCAGCTACAATTGTTGCAACATCTGTTGGTGCTATATGGTGCTTGGTAAGAACTGAAAAAGTGTGGTAATTTTAACAAATTGTAATTTGAACATTAGTATTTAATTTAAAGGGAATTACTGTGCCACATTTATTAAAAGGACACTGTAGGCACCCAGACTGCTTCAGTTTATTGAAGTGGTCTGGGTGCAGTGCCCCTATCAGTTTAACCCTGCAATGGTTAATTCCACCTCTAGTAACCGATATTGTACAATTAACAGCTATGCATTACTCTCTGGTTGCTATGTTCACGTTGAAAAACCTGTGCAAAGTTTAATGTCATACTATATCTACGGTATGTTTTGTAAGTAATTGTTTCAACAAAAAACTACAAAATAAAGAATGTCTTTAAAAAAAAAAAAAAAATCCTCTTCCAGTGATTGTCTACCAGACAGCCACTAGAGGCGCTAATGAATCGTTAAGCGACTTTTGGTCGCATAACTGATGCTGGATGTCCTCATCGTCTTTCAGACGATCTAAGGTTTCTAGGGACAATTCATACTGTGTACCCTTAAATCTTATTTTTTTTCATATGGGCTGTTTTCTGTGCTGACTACTTCAATTTCACTTTTTAGCAAGAATATTAAAACTCATCACACTGTGCAGTTTGATGACTGGTGAGTGATAAATCATTTGCAATGAGTTTAAGCTTTTCAGGTCCAGAGGTGAACCACTCTCATTTCTTTTCAATGTGCTGTCTATATATCTGGTACTCAGATGGTATTACAAGTTATATAAGGAAATAATTATTTTTCCATTTTATATGATTCTAACAGGTCATGGGGTTAGGTTTATAGAAAGAGGGTAGAGTGGAAATACATGGGTGAATTTTAGTACCCTATCACCTTAACTTCACCAGCCACCACTTTAGACTATTACAATCTTTTTGGGACAAGACTGGTGTGCCATCATCAAAACATTGGCATTATTTGCCAAGTTCTGTGAGAATTTCAGTTATAAAATAAATAAGTTTAAAAAAAAATATTTTATTTTTATTTTTTTTATTCTGTATTTTTGTAGTGCATGTTTAACATCACAGATATACATAGACATGTCATATTTCAACAGTATGGAGTGTTAGAGAGAATTAGCAATGCATGTCAAGGTTACTGCATCATTTTTAAATTATAGGTTGCAAGAAGAAGTAAGTTGCTTAGAATTCTATAAAGAAGAAATCATATAGCATGGTATAAGCTTGTACGTGTAAATTAAACTAAAATATGAACTGGACACATGCAGGAGGTGAGTATCAGAGGCTTAGGTTTCTGCCTACGGTAACAATGTCCCATGATGTGTAGAATGTAGAGACAGGACCCCAGAACTACGTGCCCATCAAATTAACCCCTTTTAGCCTATGCCCACAGAGTATACATAACTGTCCAGCATAGAGGTGACTTGCCAGGAAGATACACGCTTGCTTGGTAAGGAGATGCCCGGTCACAGAAAGCATGAGGGGCAGCTCAGAGGTGACTGTAGTGGTCTCTTCATGTAGCTTAGTACAGACGCTTGTATAGTGAGACTCAGCACTCCACAGCAGCGGCGGGCAGGATGTCAGTCCACAACTCGCTTAATCAGCTGGTAGTGCGGTTTCTGCAGGTTACGTAGTTTTGATGTAGTCGAGTTAGGAGCCATCTTGCGGGTACCGCCATCATGAGGTAGAGGTGCACTTTGCTGAGTTAAGTGAGGTAGGGTAGGTGCCTTGTGAATCTCCACTGGAGCTTCAATGCGACAGGCGAGACTAGACCAAAAGTCTGCAAACAGTCTGTCTATTTTTCCAGGATAGAGGGCTTCGGGTCTCGTGGTGTGAGTTCACATGTGGCATCTGCCACTGTGTAGTAGGCAGGTGGGCTGCAGTCTAGAGGGTACTGCTGGAAAGCTGTAACCGTAGCACTGGTAATGATTACCAGGATATCTGTCACCGCTCAGGGGGGGGGGGGAGAGTGGAGAGACCCCGAGCTGTCTTGTTGCCAGAAGGTAGAGGGTTCGGCCGCTTCCGTCTCCTCGTCCGTGAATAGGCCCCTGCTAGGCCGCAGGTCTAAACAAGATCCGCCTAGCTTGGCCAGAGGAACAGCTAGAACAGCCACCGACGGGCCCACCCGGTTACCGACCAGCGTTGGCTGCCTGAAGTCTGCAACTGTGGATCGCTAATCGTCGATTTAGGCAAGTTTTTTATTTTTATTCCCCTGGAGCTCTCCTGGGACGTGCGACTGATCAGCACGGCAGTCAGGCTCCGCCCCAAGTGAAAATTTTTTTATTAGAGCATTATCTTTGTGTTTTTAATCACATTATTGCAATTGTTTGTAGACGTTTTGAGCAGACGTTTCTGACTTTGGGCTCACAAATCTTGTATGAAAAATTATTAAAATTGTGATCATATTCTCACAGATATAAGAGAGTGAAATATCACACTGTTTAGTAGTTTGGAAATAAAACCAATTTAATCTGATGAACGTAACTAAAATAATCTGGAACCTTTGCTGATTAAATACTTGGTAGGAGGTAGATCATTTTCATAAGTAACAGCAGATAAAATATTAATGGGGTGTTTATGCAGCACCAGGGGGACTTCATGGACTGTCAGAATTCTCTCAGTGGTGTTTACTTAAACACTCTGAATGTATCCCTGCTGGTTGTACCCCCTGATACAGGACATCTGCGCCTATGGTGAAGCGTAATGCTGCAAACGAGAGCTGATTTCTTGATGTGAAAAGGTCATAGAGTGGTTTTCTTTTTTTGGAATCCAAAAGTTTGGTAGGCAGTGGAAATGTCATAAGCTGGAAAGATAAAACCCCTTTGAGAATTCTTAATATGCCTTGCTATCTACCTGCTGGGTGCTAGCTTACTAAGTAGTGTGACAGTAGCTGTGAGATGCCAAGCTCTACATATTCTGGCATATGTGCAGCAGGCTTAATCATAGACTTTTTATGCTCCTAAATAAGATGCTATATACATCAGGATTTTTATACATGGATTTACAAATGAATTAACACAACTTAAGTTGTAATTTTTTCTATCCCTTGAATGAAAAAAACAACCTCTTTATAAGCCTTTATATAAGAAGTACAAACAGACCTTCATTATGTTTAGTTATTTGGCAGCATGTATTCTATGAGATATTTTACTCTGACATGTCAAGAGAGAATGATTGACAGAATTGTGACTTGGTAACCAGTGGTACATGTATCTATAAAATAAGTATTGTAAAGTTAAGAGTATAGAGTACTGACATTTTGATTAATTACCACCATAGTGTTACAATGTTGCATAATGACCAAGAGAGGCAGGGCTATTATCTTCAGACCCTTTACAAATCCAGAATCTCGGCCCCCACTAACTCATATGTATACTCACACACATGCAACCTGACAAACAGTTACCACTCATATACATTCGAGACACACTCACAGATGCAAACTGCCATACAGACATACAAACAAGGATACTCCCTGCCAGACACACACATAGAATAAAAGACACACTAGTAGACAGACACACACACATTGACAAACATACACACATGAAAATCTAGTACAGGGGAGGGTAACCCAGTAGGAATTGGGTATGATACCCTGATAAGAGGAGAGAGTGTAGAAATAAGATGCTAAATAGTGTTCAACTGGATCAGGATTCACCAGTCCTGTCTAAGACACTAGATAAAGGAAACACTTTGGATGACCAGGAGCAACTATTTAGGATACAGAGGAAATATTATTATTATTATTATTATTATGTTCTTTATATAGCGCTTTACAATGGGTGGACGAACAGACATGTAGTTGTAACCAGACAAGTTGGACACACAGGAACAGAGGGGTTGAGGGCCCTGCTCAATGAGCTTACATGCTAGACGGAGTGGGGTAAAATGACACAAAAAGATAAGGATAGTATTAGACTAGTGACAGTTGCAGAGGAGGAATCACTTGGGAGCTATTAACAGTTTAATTGATACGCTTTTATGAAGAAGTGGGTTTTTAACGAATTTTTGAAGGAGTGGAGACTGGTTGAGCATCGAACGGAGGAGGGAGGCGAGTTCTACAGGAACGGTGCAGCCCTCGAGAAATCTTGAAGGCGAGCATCAGAGGTGGGAGTACGGACAGAAGATAGACGTAAGTCTTCAGCAGATCGCAAAGGCCTAGACAGGACATACTTGTGTATAAGGGAGGATAGATAGGTGGGAGCAGCATTATGTAGCGATGAGAAAGCAAGAACCAGAATTTTAAATTGAGCTCTATATTTTATAGGAAGCCAATGTGGGGACTGACAGAAGGGTGAGGCATGGGAGGTGCGGGCGAACAGGAAGATGAGCCTCGCCGCCGCATTCATTATGGACTGAAACAACGCAAGTTGGGAGCACGTACTGAGAAGCGTATTACAGTAGTCAAGGAGAGAAATGACAGTGGAATGGACCAACACCTTAGTCGCATCTGGCGTTAAGTTGGGGCGGATGCGCGCAATGTTTTTGAGATGGAAATGACAGGGTTTGGCGATAGACTGAACATGAGGCTTGAAGGAGAGCTCAGAGTCAAAGAGAACACAGGAGGGTTTGTGCTGAGCAGCAATCATGCAAATAGGAACCTAGTAACTGCCTGTTACAACCAATCAGATCCACAGGTGTGGTATTTAGGCCCAGTTCTCCTCTTGCTCTGTGCCCTGTCGTGGTTTCCCTTGTAGTTGTCCGAGAGCGTGTTATTGATTCAGGTTTTTCTGTTTATTTGACTTTGGCATTGTTATTGACTTCCCTGTTTTCTGGCATCCCTGACCCCTGGCTTTTCCTTATCATTGTGTCTCTTTCTGTATCCCTTGACCTCGGCTATTCCTGACTATTCTTTGATACATTAGTCCGGCCATTCTAAGGTCCGGTATACGTTACCTATCAGTCCTCTGTGTTACACAATTCTACTTGCTAGATCATACTGTAATCCTGACAATATGTAACTTACATATCCTTGCACTACGCCACTCACCGGGTACCCTTACCTCCCCAAGCAGTTACACGTCCTCAGACACCTTTGCCAGGGTTTCTAACACAAAGTGCTGTAGCTTTGACTTTTTTATGGCATCATTAAGCCACACCCATTCCGTGATGTCATTGCATCATTGACAGCGCCCACTCAAATTTTGGTTGTGTGACTATCAAGGAAACACCCCCAGGTCTATAAATCCTTGAGCTTTCCAAATATTCAGTGCCCTGTTGTGGTTTCCTTGTGATCCCAATAGCGCATTCCTGATTATCTTTGATTTCCTGGTTATTTTGGCTTGTCTGACTACTCTGGTTTGTGTACTTCTCAACCCGGCTTAGTTTATTGATACTGTGCTTTCTGGAATTGATGATCTCGGCTTGTTTTCCTTGACTGTGATATTTCACCTGCCGGAGGAATCTTTTAAGCATTACTCCCCGATTAATCCCAGCACAGACCAGTTTGAGGTCTGCTACTGGCTTAGTCTACCCCAGGGGGAAGCCTCTTTTATCTTGGCACTTGGAGAGGACTGCAGGTCAGACTCCTTCCCACTAACAATGGGCCCTGGACTGAAAGGGGGTTCTGTTTTAGAACCTTTTAAGCATTAATACCCTACTAATCCTGGCACAAAATGATTGGATGTCTGGTACTGGTTTAGTCTACCCTGGGGAAAGGAAGCCTCCGTTACCTTGGCACTTGGAGAGGACTGCCGGTCAACCATTCAGACTGCTTTCCCCTGTTTTGTCACTGTTGCAAGGTTAGGGTACCCTTGTTTTGAATTTTCTTCCAACTTGTGATGACACCCCTCCCTTGCTGGTGTGTATGGGAAATGCATTGATTTGTATAATCACAATATGCAAATTCATAAATTGCAAAACAAACACCAGTTGCATCTGTATATCTGTGATTTCCATAGTTATGTTGCTTGTTCTTCAAGTTATGAATGTTTATATGGATGTCACTACATGTTCAGGGACAAGTCATCCAAGGATAGTCCTTGTCCAAAATAAAGTATTGTGTTAGTTCCAATTGAAACTGTGTGTCCTGTGTGGTTTGTTCAGGGATGGCAGTCGTTTTCAGACCTATTGGCTCCCTGATTCTTTTTTTAGGATGCGTTAAAAAAAGAGCTAAGCCAGAGAATCACAATTGCCTTTGTAAAGGCAACAGAAGAGGCAAAGGTAGAGGGGACGATAGATGCCTCGAAGGAAAGAGCTGCAGCCTGGTCCAGTAGACGAGATAATCTGAGACCCCAGTAAAGCTTCAGTGACTGGGTCTGAAGCGCTCCAGAGTCGCTGGTAGCAGAAAGAAATCTGACCTGCTGGAGTTACTCAGTCAGAGTACACGATCTCCATCACATACTGTTCTCGAACAGTTTAACCTGATAGGTAGCTTCCAGAGCCGATCTCCAGATCCCCCCAGGTGGCATCCAACTTCTGAATGTGAGTTACAAGAAGTGCGTGTCACCGGCAGCACAATTTGCTGCCACCCTATTTACTAAGTGTGCCAATATTAGTGGAGGGCACTGTATCAGAAACTTTTTATTTGATGTGGATGTATTTTTACAGTGCTATATAAATACAATTTTTCAACACCATTCTTCCAATTTGGCCTAAAATTTGCAAAAACCAGGTCAGTATCCAAGAATTTCCGGCTTAGCGAATAATCCTGCAAACAGATAAAAGTCATTGTCGTTTTCATCATGCAAAAAAGGTTATGGAATTTGCATTCAGTGGATTTCAAGTTTTGGAATGCCCTCTAGTGGAAAATATTAATAATTTCTGCATCTGGTCTATTTGAGAGAGGTTCACAATGATACAGTACTTTATAAAGTAAACTTACCAGAGTACTAAGCCTGAATTAAAAAGCAAATCCACAAACATTCTTTTCTCTTTGGGGAATTTCCTATCTAAGCTAGCCTTTAAGGAATAACACTCTTCTCTTATTCCTTTAGAAAGAAGCCACTGGTATCCTTTGCCTCCTTAATTTGCTGTGTACTAATATTTATATATAATTATAAAAAAACATTTATTTTTCTATATAAGAGGATCTCTATTTTTGAAAGTATAGGACATTGGTTCTCCTCTCATTCCTAAGCCCATGTGTATCTAAAGACTATGACTAAAACTAAATTGAAATTTGCTGCCAAAATTAACACCGCACAGAGGGGCTGTGGAAGGGGCAAAAGAAACAGACCAGGGATTGAGAGAGAGATCCTTAGAGGGGCTGGGAGGACACAAACAGACACAGAGGGGCTGGGGAAGGGGCAACAGAGACCGATAGAGGTTTTAACTAAACCCATTTTTAGGCATGTCAGCTAAAAGCTACTGGAGATTTAGTCGACTAAAACTAAAACAAACCAGATTACTAAAATACGACTAAAACTAAAGTTGCTTTTTAGTCAAAAGACTGTGACTAAAACTAAATTGAAATTTACCGCCAAAATTAACACTGGAAAGAAAAAGCAAAGATCTTAAGAATTCTATTAGCTATCTATGGAGCAGTTTATTCTGATATGTATTACCTAGACTCCTTTACTCACCTATATACTAAGATCCTATCCCAGTTACAGACCATATTTATTAAAGTCTGAACTCTGGCAAATAGGAAGTATTTTAATTAGCGTAAATAGAGGTTTTAGCCATTTGGCTTTGGATAATTTCTTTTGACCTTACACTTCTTCGATTAACTTATGGGTCAAGATGCACATGTAAATATTATTGTAATTTTGGAACCATATTTCTTTGAGACTATTTTCTAGCCGACATTCACTGGCAGAGTTTGTACTCTAGCAAGTTTTGTCATTATCCTCACCATGTCAGCATATTGATATTGAGATTGTGTGATTAACGAGGACAAAAGTTAAATCCAGTTCTATGTCACTCATGAGTTCTAACTTTGGCGGTATTATTTATATTGAGAAATTTTGGGCTTGTGATTCTGATAAACACAAAACCAGTCATTGGTGTCGCTATGGGAGGTGCCGGTCAGAGGGAGTGACACCTGGTGCATTTCCTTTCCTCACATGCAGCCCGGAACCAGGGCCGGTGCAAGGATTCTTGCTGCCCTAGGCAACAATCCATTTTGCCGCCCCCTCACGAATGCAACTACATTCCATTTAGATCAGTGCTAGTCAACCTTTTTCTACCTACCGCCCACTAATGCATCTTTTTGGTTGAAAGAATTTCCTTACCGCCCACCAGTTTTCGCGCAAGTGCAGAATATTTTTTCGAAAGGAGGGTGTTTTAAAAAAAATAAATGTACGTACATTTATCTTTTTATTTCTACTTAATGCATGTTTATAATGTTTTTAACTTTATAAAGTTTAATGAGAAAACAATAAAGTAAATTGAAATTACCTTTACTAGTGATTAATGAGATCCTTGATGTTGATGCTGCAAGAGTAAATATTTGATATCTCGTTCGATTTTCGTAAGGAACAAACAAAGGTCTCCTCTTTCGGTGATATTCAGACGACTTCTCTGTTTGCGCATAATATGATTTCTTATCTGTGCGTCAGCTCCCCTCCTCTCCCTCCTCAATTCCCCTCCCCACTTTTTTTTCACTTTTTAAAAAAAACTTTTTTTAACCTTCCTTATAGCAATGCCCAGTAGAAAGGCTGAGCTAGGTATCCCATTTACTATTACTTACTATAGCCCACTATAACAGACAGGCACACATACATACATACATACATACATACATACAGACAGACACACACAAGACACACATACATACAGACAGACAGGCACACACATACATACAGACACACAGACAGGCACACATACAGACACACACAAGACACATACATACAAACAGACAGGCACACATACATACAAACACACACACAGACATGCATACAGACACACATACAAAGACACACACATAAGACATACATACACACATACAGACAGACACAAGACACACATACATACAAAGACACATACATACAAAGACAAGACACACATACATACACACATATATACAGACAGACACACACATACAAGACACATACATACAGATAGACACACACAAGGCACACATACAAAGACACATACACACACAACACATACATACAAAGACAAGACACACATACATACATACACACACATATATACAGACAGACACACACACATATATATATAGACACACACACACAATACACATACAAAGACACACACATAAGACACACATACATACACACACATACAGACACATACATACAGACAGAAACACACAACACATACATACAAAGACACATACACAAACAAACACACACAAAATATTTTAGTCACCCTTCTGTTTCCTAACTTTTAGGTGCAGGAGGGTGACTTTCCCTGGGGTCCAGTGGTGGCTCAGGTGGATGGGAGTCAGAGTTCCCACTCTGACTCCCTGGTCTTCCTCCCGCGCTGTCTGTGTGTTAGCTGGGAGGAGTGACGTGCAGTCACTTTCTCCCAGCGTGTGATGTAATCACAGGGGGCCCGGTCGCGCTGTTAAAGCGCCCAGCGATGACCGGGCCCCCTCACAATCCACATCCATCGGGTGGCCCTGACAGCATATGCGGTCGGGCCGCAAATGGTGATGGCAGTATCCGGTCGCAGGGGTACTGCCAGCTCGCACCCGCCCGTCCGCCCACCCAATCTGTCAAAATTTGAAAATTCCTACCGCCCACCTGGAATCCTGAAACGCCCACTAGTGGGCGGTAGGGACCAGGTTGATGACCCATGCTTTAGATGTTTATTCACTAAACTCTGAATTACAGTGAAGAGACATTTAGGGAAAGAGACACACTGAGTAGGCATTAAAGGAAACTATAATGCCAGTAAAACAAACTTGTTATCCTGGCACTATAGCTTCCCCCTCTGTCATGCGCACCCCCCTCATGGTGCAGAAGGGGTTAAAACCCCTTCTGTCACTTACCTGGGTCCAGCACCAATGTCTTTCATGCTGGCTTGGGTCCGCCTACGCTCCTTAATGGCCGCGCTCGCAGTAGTATTTCCATGACACTAGGTTTTACGTGGTGCTGGACGTCTCCATGCAAAGCCACTAGAGGAGTTCACATTAACCCAGAGTGGTAATTATTTCAGTTTCTTAAAAATTACAATAATTACCTTTGCAGTGTCACTTACACAATCTCACTAATACACACACTCTCTCACTGGCATACACACTTACCCATTCTAACTAACTTACACACTCTAACACACATTCTCACTGACCTACACATTGTCACTTGCACACTCTCACTGACATACACAGTGTCACTTACACACTCTCACTAACACACACACATACACACTCTCTCACTGACATACAGTGTCACCTACACACTCTCACCAACATACACATTGTCAGTTACACACTCTTACTAACACCACACACAGTGTCACTTGCACACTCTCACACACACACACACAGTGTCACTTGCACACTCACACACACACACACACACAGTGTCACTTGCACATACTAACATAGTGTAACTTGCACACTCTCCCTAACACACACACACAGAGTCACTTGCGCACTCTCATTAACACATACACACTGTCAGTCAAACACAAACTCACACAACTCTACATATAGTCACACTTTATTTACAAACACAAACACAGTAAATTAACACACACACACACACACACCAATTTACAAACATTCATAGTATAAGCAATCCCCCATGCCATACCTGGGTCTGTGAAGAGAAAAGGTCCAGGCAGCAGGATCTCTTGGGGGAGCAGGAGGGCAGTGCACTGTGAGCACAGGCTGCTTCCTGTTCCCCTCAGAGTGCTTCCTGTATTCACAGGCAGGGGGCATCCAGGACATAGACATAGAATACATAGACGCGGCACGTCTATGGCATTGCGTGCTGAGCGGCAAGAAATCGGGCGCCATCTTGGACCGGGCGCCGCTCTACTCAAGCTATTGAAGAACACTTGGAAAGTCCATCTCACAAAAGGTAAGTAAAGGACTTGGGGCACTTATAGTCCTCAATACCCCTAAACACACACAGTGTTAATACCCCTATCCCAGCACATAGTGTTAATACCCCTACCCCAGCACATAGTGTTAATACCCCTATCCCAGCACATAGTGTTAATACCCCTATCCCAGCACACATAGTGTTAATACCCCTATCCCAGCACACATAGTGTTAATACCCCTACCCCAGCACATAATGTTAATACCCCTACCCCAGCAAATAGTGTTAATACCCCTATCCCAGCACACATAGTGTTAATACCCCTACCCCAGCACATAGTGTTAATACCCCTACCCCAGCACATAATGTTAATACCCCTACCCCAGCACATAGTGTTAATACCCCTATCCCAGCACACATAGTGTTAATACCCCTCCCCCAGCACATAGTGTTAATACCCCTACCCCAGCACATAATGTTAATACCCCTACCCCAGCACATAGTGTTAATACCCCTATCTCAGCACACACAGTGTTAATACCCCTACCCCAGCACATAGTGTTAATACCCCTATCTCAGCACACACAGTGTTAATACCCCTACCCCAGCACATAGTGTTAATACCCCTATCTCAGCACACACAGTGTTAATACCCCTATCCCAGCACACATAGTGTTAATACCCCTACCCCAGCACATAGTGTTAATATAAACCAACTCTCTAATTTGCCATATGTCTAGATTCCCTCATAGATAGGGGGTCCTTTGATATGTTAATGGCCATTAGCCTTGTGTTCCAGTATCATATTCAAAAGGAACACTAATACCCACAGATCAATAATCAAGCCTCATTCCTATCATATTTAGAATGGGATAAGCACAATCTTCTAATCAAGCCTAAACATGATTTGCGAACAAAGGGGACCACACAAACAATACATTGTTAAATAGCCCTGATCTGAGCGCCCAAGTTCTCCAAATAGAGCTCAGATCCAGGAGGGAATAAACTTTAATTTTGTTTGAATAATAATATATATTTTTATAGTAATAAAAAAAATACTGTATTTTTCAGTATATAAGACGCCCCCATGTATTAGACGACTCCTATTTCTTGAGATGAAAAGTAGGGGGAAAAATTTTTTTAGACATCAAATAGAACAACTTTGATATTTTAGAGATGACATCTGATTCTTATGTCTCCCCTGTGCTACGGTACTCTATGAAGTTAATGGCTCTATAGTGCATTCTGGGAGACCTACAGCTCTCACAATACAGCAGGTGATGCTGGGACATCACAGCGGTATTCCCTCTACTCCCTGATCCCTCTTTCCTCCCCATCAATATAAATCAGAAAGCAAGACCTACCTGAGGTGGAGCATACCTTAATATGGCTGCTCTTTTCATGGTGTGGCATTTCTCTGAAGTTCCATTGGTGGTAATTGCTGACGTCTGCTGCAGCTCCTATGCATATAGGCACCTTTTCCTCCCTGCCACAGCATTCAGAAGTAGATCGGAGGGAGACTAGGTATGTGTGTGGGCCGTGGCACACTGAAACGCAACATGCACCATTTTGACTTAGGCGCACAGGTGGTTTGTGTTTTTTTTTTTAGCCCCTGCAGTGACATTCCGTGCATAAGACGACCAACAACCTTAGACAAAAAATTTTTTAGAAAAAAACATAGTCTTATACACAAAAAAAAATATGTTAAATGCTCCCACAAATTGGTGTCACCGCACCATTCCTAGTGACACCACTACACACCATACCGGCCAAAGTACATAAACCACTATTAACAAAAAAAAAGTACAACAAAGAATGGAAGAGCACCAGGATCTCCATGCAAGTAATAAATCCTAAATATAAAAGAATGATCCAGCACTATCCAAAAACAGTGTAGTAGTGTTGTTTTACTTACTGCATAGACGGAAACACACAAACACCAACATTCTACCAAACATAAGCACAGTATTGTGTACACGGTGGAGCACCTTATTACATTCTCAAATTATGATAAATGTGTGATAAAATAAAAGAGAAAAATTACCAAATTTGTTGCAGTATGTTTGGTGTGATGGGCAAGAGAAAAAAAGAAATGCACTTATAGTATATAGAGCTAGAATTTGCTCTTCTTTATGCACCTAGGTAGTACAATCCCCACGCTTGGATATCTTAATGTATATTTTATCCAATGGAAAGTGCTGCAGAGAGTATACGAAATAAACCGAAGGCAAAATCCAATCTGGTGTAGTATCTTGAGTTATTGATGTGGAGTGAAAATATGTGTGAAAATACACTTACAGATTTTGGCACCTCCAATTGGCTTACAGAAAGCAACATAAAGTGCTATAATCTCCACTTAAGGATCTACTTTGTTGGCATGAAATCACATAGTGAATTATGCAGGATTGTAAATGAACTCTGCTTATTCTGCTCTTTCAAGCACATGCTGTCATTGTTGATAGTTTAAAGGGACACTATAGTCACAGAACACCTACAGCTTATTGTATTTGTTCTGGTGACTGCAATCATTCCCTTCAGGCTTTTCGCAGTAAACCCTGTCTTTTCAAAGAAAATGCAGTGTTTATATTACAGCCTATGGATACCTCCACTGGCCACTCCCCAGGTGGCTGCCAGAGGTGCTTCCTGGGGCAGTGCTGCATGGAGACACTGAACTTTCCTCGTAGAGATGCACTGATTCAATGCATCTATATGAGGAGATGCTGATTGGCAAGGGCTGTGTTTGGCTTGTGCTGGCTCTGCCCCTGATCTACCTACAGTCTCAGCCAATCCAATACTTTCCTATTAGAGAGCTTTGTGGACACAACTTCTGATGATGTCAACCAAGCAGGCAGATCAGGGGCAGAGTCAGCAGCAGCAGACTGGAGTAATGGTAAGATTGTACTATATTTAGGGAGGGCCAGATGGTGTTTTTAACACTAAGGGGTCAGGAATACATGTTTGTGTTCCTGAACCTATAGTGTTCCTTTAATGACGATTTATTATAATGATTTAGAAACACAGTACTAAGGTAGAATGTTAATGATTGTTTTATTGTATATTGTCTATAATGTGATGTGATTTCATTTTTGGTGCTCAAATAAAAAATATTTTTGTTTTTTAATTAAAGGATAGAGCTACCTTTCGGAGGATTATTGTAAAAAATAATGCCAGAAAGAGAAGAATGTATGAAAATTTTATAGAATCCCTGCCATTTCTAAAATCTTTAGAAGTAAGTATTACTTTCACTGCATTCACAGAATGTTACTTTTTTTTTTTGTATGTGAAAGAGTAAAGCACAATTTTCACTTTTATTCCTTAGTTATCAGAACGCTTGAAAGTGGTGGATGTAATAGGCACCAAAATGTATCGTGATGGAGAACAAATCATTGCTCAGGTACAGAATGTTTGTCTGTCTTTGTTGTTATTGACCAGGCATATTGCTTACTAGATATTACTCATTCTACACTGATTGCAAAGGATAAGAGTAAACCATTCAAGTAATCGATCTGAATAGTATATGATGTATTAAAACAGGATGAATTGTTTTTGACAGTACATGGGGGTATTAGAACAAATAGATTAAAAGAGCCAAAATACTCAAATGATGGGCACACATTATTAAAAAAGAACTTTATTAAATACAGGTTTTGTATATAACCCCATTTCCAGACTATGGCCTTGATTTACTATTGTTGGATAAGCTATATTTACTATTCTTGGATAAGTGATTGATATTTTTAGATGAACTTTTAAAATATTTTTTTCAAAATACAAAAATATCGAAAAAGAATTCATATATTAATATATAAAAACGTTAAAATAGTAAAACATTTTTAAAAATATTAAATAATTTAAAAAGTTTAGATAAAAATATTAAACCATTTGAAAAATGTATCCAACAATCTTAAATCAGGCCCTATGTTTGCCAGACAAATCCTCAGTTCCTTTCAAGCTAGTTGCAGTAAATTAGAGCTTTCGACAGACAACAGTGTGCAGTAAATTAGGAATGTTTTATAATACTATTTGAAATAGAACAATCAATTAGCTTCAGATATAGGGATTCTGTTTTGTGTCAAGTTATATACACTTTCCGCATCTATGTATCATGTGTGGTACCTTCGTATTTAAACCCTTTTGTGAAAGTGATTAGTGTTATAAATATATATTTATTTTTTTTCAGGGAGATGGTGCTGAGAGTTTTTTCATTGTAGAAACTGGAGAAGTCAGAATAGCGATGAAAAGTAAGGTAAAATAATGAATTTACAATTCATTTACTATCCCTTTTCAGTGCTGTTTATTTACTTTTGTTTATATATTGTGAATAAAATTTTTCATTAGTAGTATGATTGGCATATAATTCTGTATCTTTATTGTTAATACTGTAAAGAAACTCTTCCTTTGTTGTAGGTAAAATTGCCTGTCTTCCAATCTCAATGGAAGGTCTTTGTTTCTTCATATTTGTTTCCTAACTTTATATATTAAGAAAACCAAGAAAAGGTCAGGCCAGACAGTTTAACATAGTGTAGAACAGGCTGGGACAGCTGCAGGGATGAAGATGGACAACAGAAGGTTACTAAACATACAATTTCAAAATTTCATCTTTATATACTTTGTGGTGAAACTAGAAAATTATAATGTCCAAACCCAGAGTGGGAGCCTCTTATGGAGACATCACACAAAATCACATACGTTATTTATTTTTTTCATGCTTTTGCCTTTTGCTTTGTTTTTATGGATACTTAAATAAATATTTCAGTGCTATAAGAATATGGCCTGGGCACTGAGCTTTCTGAAGCTTTCTGAAGCTTTTTATTCTCTGTGGAGTTGGTAACTAGCCGATTGATACCACCATGGACACGAGTGTCACCAACAACATAGGAGGATCTAGGAATGTGGAATGTCAGGTAAGTGGGTCAAGAATGCCACTGCACATGGAGTAGTCTTACACAAACAGACATAGACAATCTATATATTTGTTCATTTGGCTGACACTTTTCTCTAAGGAAAAAAAGAATGTTTGAAAATGTTGAATCTCAGTCACCGAGTATTGTGAGGGTGGAAGGAGTGGAAAATAGCAATGCAATTGGAGTGTAGATGATGAGGAGATGCACAAGTGATGAGGGGAGAGAGAGGCACAACCAAGAGAAACTGGGAAAGCGGTACAAGTTTGGGGGGTGGAGTGACAAATAAGTGGGACAAGATGTTTAGAGAGACGCAAGTTGGGAGTGTGGGAAAGGTGCACAAGTGGGGGGGGCAGGGCAGGATGAGGGTGAGATAGCACAATTGGATGGATTGAATGATGAGTGGATGGACAGAGGAGAGAGAACACAAGTGAGGGATTTCGTAGGCCAACATGTCCTTGAAAATAGAAATGAAATAGGCAGATACTGTTGGATCATCGTGGGATGAAAGTGTATGGAATAACAACATGAGCCAAAGCAAAAATCTGCTCCAAAGGCCAAATCCTATATGTACACATCTGCATGTTTTTCTGACTTATTTGACCTACCGTCTTTTACTAGCATCACAAACACATTGCATATTAAAACTATACATTAATATCCACTGTGAGGAGTGAGGGTGGCCAAGCTCAACCTGTATTTTCAGCTTGGCCCCTTAATTCCTTGCGAACAGCATTTATCATAGCACAGCATAAACCAGCAGGTGGAGTGTTGGAATTAGCAGGCAGTTGGTACACAACTTGAATGCACATGGCTGATTGTGTCCATTGTGCTATAGTACATTTCAATTATTCAGGTAGTAGGTTTCAATATAATCATAATGCAGATGTTACATCCATGGAAACACACAGGTGACATGAGCAAATTATTACCAATAATGACCCAGCATCACGGATTTTGTGAGCCCTTGCTATTAAGCACAGCTAAAAGAACACTGTGAGCACCATAAACACTACAGTGCTGTCTACAGTGCCTTGAGTGTCCTGCCGATCCTCCCAATGTAAGTAGTCAAACCGTCTGAGTTTTTAAACAAGGGTCAGCGAAGAGCATTTCCCCATTTCCACTACATCTGAAAGAAGGCTGGAAGCTCGCTGTCTGAACTAAGCCTGGCAGGACTTACATAGCTGGATACTACTAATTAGGAGTTAGTTTTATTGATCTTTCAAGTGTAGTGGGAGTGGGGAGTGATGCCTGGCAGACCCTAGGTGAGAAGTCAGTCTGTTCTAAAACGTTTTAACTACTTACTATGGGGGGTCAACATGGCACTCCAGGCACCATTAAAGGAGCACTATAGTTCCAGGTAAACAAACTTGTTTTTCTGGCACTATAGGGTCATTAGGTCCCCCCCACCCTCAAGGGCCTCCTCCTGCTGGGCTGAAGGGGTTAAAACCCCTTCAGCCACTTACGTTACCCCCAGAGTTACCTCCTTCTGTCGACGTCAGATCTGAATGCGCATGCGTGGTAAGAGCAGCGCATGCATTCAGACTGCCCATATGAAAGCATTACTCAATGCTTTCCTATGGACGTCCAGCATCTGCACACTGTGATTTTCACAGTGAGAATTGCGGAAGCGCCTCTAGCAGCTGTCAGTGAGACAGCCACTAGAGGCTGGATTAATCCTTAGTGAAACATAGCAGTTTCTCTGGAACTGCTATGTTTTCAGCTGCAGGGTTAAAACTATGGGGACCTGGCACCCAGACCACTTCATTGAGCTGAAGTGGTCTGGGTGCCTATAGTGGTCCTTTAACACTGCAGCATGCTGGTTTGGTTATGGTGCTTAAAGTGTTCCTTAAAGAAGATATCTAACATGTTAACACAAAAAATACAGAAGTGGAAAATACTGTAAATAGATTTTTCATAATTCTGTCATTTGGGTAATGTACCAAAATTTGCTACACATTGCAGAAATAATAATAAAACTACAAGTTTATGTCTTCAAGTTATAAGAATAAACATTCATTATTGAGAAGAGGATTTTATTCACAGTATATTTTAGCTGTTTTTCTTTATAGTGTTAATTTAGTATGTGCCCCTATGGAAGCCTTTAAAATTCCTGTTTCCTTAATTTTCTGAATTTAGCAATGCATGTTCTATTATCATAAAGTGTGCTTTAATGGAGTGTTATTATCAGGTTACTTATACAGCTGACAGCTCCTGCAATTGTGTTACTAAAGTTACTAAAATGACAAGAATGAAATGGCAGGCAGTAGGATCATCACATGATATAGCAGAATTTCAAATCGTATACTCTTGCTTTATTTAAAATTTCAAATTCAATGCAGCCCACTCATGCATTAAGTTTATTATTTTGTTGTTATTTCTTAATATTGTCCAACAGAGCAAGCAAGATGCCGAAGTGAATGAAGCTGTGGAGATTGCGCGCTGCTCCAGAGGACAGTATTTCGGAGAACTTGCCCTGGTGACCAACAAACCCAGAGCAGCTTCAGCTTATGCAGTTGGAAACGTCAAATGCTTAGGTACTAAGTGTTATTTTTGCTTTTGTGTTGTTGGTTGGTTTGTTTTTTTGAGAATGTAAAGCAAAATGTATTGAAGATGGGCAGTCAGACAGCACCAAGGTAAATGTGATTTTTCAGATACCCAAATAAATACATCTTTCGTTACACATAGGGTATTTAGATCAGCTAACTGTTATTACTTTTCAGTTTTCTTTTGTTGCAAAAGTATGTAAATGTCTTTGTGTGCCCACACAAACATGGAAGATTCCGTAAAATAAATTACCTTATCCTGAGTCCATTAGTATTAAAATGTTGATATAGTATAATGTAATTATGAATAGCTTCTGCATATATATTGTTAGAAATAAACAAGGTATAGAAGCAATTGAGAGAAGGGAGAAAGGGGAAAGTAGCCTCCTTACTGCATGCAAGAAACATAGAAACATAGAAACATAGAATGTGACGGCAGATAAGAACCATTCGGCCCATCTAGTCTGCCCAATTTTCTAAAAACTTTCATTAGTCCCTAGCAAGCTTTAAAGGTTGCTTGGTGCTTGTTTTTATGAACACCACTACTCCGATTAGTGAATTACATGTGACTTACTTCATTGGGTGAAAGGGTTAAAAACCACTATACGTCTCTACTAGACTCAAAATAATGATAAAAAAACCTAGTAACACCATTCACACTTCTTTCTAGTATCAAAAGCTTCAACTTTCAGTCGGCCGCTACCTCGCTCTGGATCTGTTCCAGTTTATATTTGGGCTTTTCCCCCTCCCCTCTGGGCTGGTGGGTTATCCCAGTCTCCACTGGAGTGCATACTTTTCTCCCAAAAGAGACTATAGCGGTCCAGCTATGCATGTCGCACAGGGCCTTACTTTTAAGATGGCAGCCGCAAACCTTTTTCCTATGGTGCCATACTCTCCAGTGGTTCCGCTAATATAGGCTTTCGTCCAGCTTTGCCAGCAATTTTGGGTAGCACTGATAGCAAGCCAACAACTACAAAATAATTCCACAACACATTACAGGTCTGTTACCTCATACTTGGGCCAGGAGCCCATTAGGAATTACTCGCTCTGCACAGCTCACACCCTCGGAGGGTTTTTGATCAATGACATCAAGCACATATTAAGATAAATTGATTTTGGCACAGATGGCAGCTGGCTCAGTGGGCATTATATGCAGGCTTTCGTGACAGACTCAGGGCTTGTGGAATAGGCATTTTATAGGTATGTGTTTCCATCTGTGAGCAATTATCCAAGCACTGGAATTGGCTAAATTATTCAGTGGACCAAGTGCCTAGTGCAACTTTCTTTATTGTTGCACTATTAATATATAACCGCTTATTATCATTTACAGAAATACATGAGTAAACATCCTATACATTACTGCTTCACACTCTGACTGACTTAAGATGGCCGCCATGCTCTCGCCATGAAAAAACCCACAAAAAAACCCATTAATAAACCATAGAAATACAGTTCATCCACAGGCACTGGAACAATGTCACCAAAGCAGAAGATTAGTCTTCAGGAGAAGGTTGTGGTGACAAATCAGCATCAACATTTTTTGGGTCCTATGCGAGGACCGTCTGAAGTCTTGTATTTGTTCTTGAAGTTGTAAGCGGTCAGGAGGGTGATGGTGGCATTGGGGATGGCCACCACCAGGCAGTGTGTTGAAGGTGTTAGGACCAAAATAAAGCCTTCTTAGATTAGGTAAAATGGGACTGGGTGCATGGGGAACCTCTGACCCAGAGTCACAGGCCACCACAGGGGTTAGGTCCAAGTTTTCAGAGTTAAACCAAACTACATTCCAGATGTCTTCTGTTACTCTGGATTTGGACTCTGGAAGCTTTGGAATCAGGGATGTCATCAAGGATGCAGGTAACTGGGAACGGGACCGAAGTTGGTCCACATGTCTGGTAATGGATCCATCTTCCACACGGGCTCTGTACATCTTGAGTCACAAAGACTCCACATTTGTGGCAGGAAGCCACTGAGTTTTGATGCATAAGATCGAATCCAGACCTCTTGGTGGATTACAAAAATGGGAGACTCTTTGGAAGTGACCATCTTCTCTTGGGAATGCAATACATGTTCATGGACAGTCTTAGGGCAAAGCATGTCTAAAGCAGTCCATGGCCGTCTTCCTAGAAAAATCTCAACTAATGTTGTAGCATGTGGTGTTGTTCTATAAGCAAAAAGAAGAGTCCAACTCCTGAGGCAATATGGACCTCTGGCTTGTTAAAACCACTGTGGTCTTGAAGTAGTTCTTGAATGTCTGTACACACCGCTCTTCTTGACCATTGGTCGCTGGGTGGTAAGGTGCGGTTAACTTATGCTTGATTTTATGAACAGTAATAAAACTCTGGAACTCATGGCTCGTGAATTGGGCACCATTATCTGTGACAATGTCCCTGGGGTACCCAGTTGTGGTAAAGAGGTGCAATGATATGGCAATTGTTGTTTATGCAGTGGACTGGGTAATTGGAATGACCTCAGGCCATTTCGAGTTGGCATTAATTCTAATTAAGAAGGTTTGCCCTCTTGTGGGACCTAAAAAATACAAGGTGAAATCAGGGAACCGTGGGCCAAGTTCAGGGTTGAATACCTTCTGGCAAAGGGTCTCTGGCCGTTTGTGCACATCCTACACAAGCATTGACATATGTTGTGATATCAGCATCTAGGTTTGGCCACCACACATAGCCTTGTGCATTCTGTTTCATCCGTGTGGTACCAGGATGACTAGTATGTAGCAAGTCCAAGATATGTCTCTGGAGTGTTTTTGGAATGACCACTCTGTGTCCTCATAAGAACCCCTTTCAATCAACAAATCCCCCCAGCAAGAACATGACATTGTTAGGCACCTTATGTGAATTTAAGGGAGATCATTTGCTGAAAGATTAGAACAGTACTTCAGTGCAAATACCATACCTCCTGAAAGGCTGTGTTCCTGACATCTGTGGGTGCTAATACATATGACACTATAAAAGACCTACTGTTTTCTGAGAAACAGGCAAGCAAGATGCCACATACATCTGGGATACTGAAGAACTAAACTCGTAATTCGCAGAAGGGGTGAAAGAGGAAGTTTTCAGAACAGCAGTTACTCCCTTTACAACCAAATGGAAATACAGACCCTCATCGCAATCCAAGCTAGCTTGCTACCGGTGCGGTAATACAGACCATAATTCCAAAACCTGTTGGTCTAAGGATCACCTTTGTCATCACTGCGAAAAAGTGGGCCACCTTACACGGGTCTGCCATAGTAGCAAAGTACAAGAAAAACAACCACAGTATACCAAGAAGAGAACTTACATGGTAGAGAAACTTACCTCGTCCTTTGAGTCAGACAATGATAAAACATTACACAAATTATCTATACATCGCCTGCACTCATCATATCTTGCAATGACAGTAGAAGTAAACATTGAAGGAAAGACATTGAAGATGGATGTTGATACAGTAGCGGCGCATTCAGTTATCACCCAAAAACACTGAAGACAACTACATATCCAGGCAACTGTCTGCCCAACCCCAATCAAGCTGCAGACATGTTCCATGCAAGCACTCCACCCACTTGGTTGTGCAAAGGTACAGGTATCATACAAGGGGCAAACAAATAGACTACTATTGGATATTCTGAAAAATGGCAGAGCACCACTCTTTGGCAAAGAGTGGGTTGCTCATCTGGAAATGCCTGGCATCATTAAGAACTCTTGCAACACCCTTACAGTCCCATCAGGACAGAATGATAGATGGGTGTAATCCTTGAAACAGCGTTTTCCTGAGATTGACCAGTTGGGAAAAATAAAAAATGATTGTGTGAGGCTCAAGCTGAAACCAGATGTACATTCTAAATTCTTTAAGGCTCGGACAGTACCATTTGCCCTTTGAGCAGGAGTAGAAGCGGAACTACTCTGGCTTGAAGAACAGGGTGTCATTTCTAAGGTAGCGCACAGTGAATGGGTATCACCTATTGTACCAGTAAAGAAATTAAATGGGGACTTTCTGTGGGGATTTTCACATGGTACTGAATTCCTAACTGAATATAGACCAGTATCCTGTAACCAGAGTAGATGACATATTCTCCTCACTGTCCACACTGGGGGACAGTAGTTGACAAAGATTGATCTCCGACAAGCCTGCCTACAGCTTGAGGTCCACCTCCTTTTCTCAAAAATACCTCACCATTAACACTTACAAGTGTTTGTATGAATACAATCAGATGGTGTTTGGCATAGCACCTGCACCAGCCATCTGTCAGAGGAAGATGGATGCGATTTTAGCAGACATTCCTTTTTACAGTGTCGATTAGATTACATGCTCATTACTGGTCATACGGATCAAGAACACAAGCAGAACATAGAGTTTTTCAAAGACTTCAGGACCATGTCTCAAGGTGAACTTAACAAAATGCAAATTCATTGTTGCCTAAATTGGAGTTTTGCGGCCACCTAGTAGATGCTGAGGGCATACACACTACTGAAGCTAAGGTCGACGCTTTAGCTCAAAAGGCTTCAGCCCCAACAAAGGTCCAACAACTACGATCGTACCTTGGCCTACTTTACTATAATACATTTCTTCCGTGGTCAGCAGAATTTCAACAAGGTTTTGAGGTCTCTAAACGGAAACTGTTGGCCTCACGTATGTACATGATGTACATGCCAATGCGGATGCAATGTCCCGGCTAACAGAAATGCTTCCAGGCTCTTTTCTACCCCACCACCACACACCTTTTGAATTCCAGACAGATGGCAGCCCATACAATGAAGGATATTTTTCTGAACACAGTGCTTTAATTTACACAAAATGGCTGGCTTGCAACTGTAACAAAGGATTACGAACCTTATTACCGAAAACGTATGGAATTGGCTGTGAATAACAATTGTGTCTTATGGGGAGACCAAGTGATCATTCCAGAAACACTCCAGAGAAATATCTTAGACTTGCTACATACTGGTCATCTTGGCACCACACAGATGAAACAGAAAGCACAAGGCTATGTGTGGTGGCATTAGGTGCAGACTTTTTTGGCAGCCTGGGGTTTGTAGAATGGGCATTTTACAGGTAATGTGTTTCCGTCGGTGAGCAATTATCCAAGCACCGAAATTGGCTGAATTATTTAGTGGACTGTGTGCTTAATGTGAATTATTTACATTTTTCTTTAGCAAATTACTAATTTTACTTTGATTGTACATGTTGGTATGTTTTTCCTACCAGATAGATTAGTTTATTGCCTAACAAATGTATGATGGTCTAACTATTCTCCACATAGTGGTACTCTGTTTTCAATGTTTATGCACATAGTTAAGAATTGTTGTTATGGTTTTACCATGCTTAGCAACTTTGCCTATGTTTTTTTCTCTTTTTGTGTTTTCTTATAATCCCTGCTAAATTTGCAATCAGTGCACATGTTATACTTTATTTTATTTTTTCAGTTACAATCTACAAGCACTTTGTTCTTTTTGTTTTATTTTATTATTTAAAAAAAATGTGCAGCCTGTCATATATATTTTATTTGAAAGATATCTCCCTTTTCACAGATTAATATCCTACTATTAATTATTATGAATCATGAAATATATAATCTAACTTAAAATATGACCCATGATAATTTCAGTACTTTCCTTTTGTTCTAGTGATGGATGTTCAAGCTTTTGAGAGGTTATTGGGGCCATGTATGGAGATTATGAAAAGAAATATTGCAAACTACGAAGAACAGCTTGTTGCTTTATTTGGAACAAACATGGATATTACCGACTCTAATGCATGAGTAGTGATAACAAGCAGAACCAACATGATGAAACGTAGCACAGTAGTGATTGGTCCACTGGAAATGTGTCTATCTTTTGTGTAGATACCAAGCATACCTATGATTTTTGTTAGCCCTTTTAGTGTCAGAAGAGCTTGCAATTCATTACCGCTTTGCACTAACTCACAAATCACACTGAAATGGGTGGTACTTTTGTAATTATTACATTTTGTTGTTTTTTTTCTACACACTACTACAAAAATACCGGTACAGAACATTGTGATTTTATAGATAAACATAATTTGCAATATTTCCTAAACATTCGGGTGTAGAAAGCCAGTATTAAGATATAGAAGACCCAGCATGTTTTTCACATTGCTGTTACTCAGTTAATATATCATATACGTATTAACCTCAAGGATGATATAGGTAATGATATCCCAGCAATACAAATTCATGCAGTTAGTTTAATTAGCATGATTTTACATATAAATTGCCATTTTTATCACCAACAATACACAAAACGCATGCCACCTCATAGATTTATGTTGATCGGCTTATGTGTCATTTACTCATAAAACTAAATGACAATGCTTTGTTTACAGAAATACTTTATTTCATATACAATAAATAGACCATACACAATTGACTATTTTAACCCCTTAAGGACCAAACTTCTGGAATAAAAGGGAATAATGACATGTCACACATGTCATGTGTCCTTAAGGGGTTATGGTAAAATTAGTATTTATAGTCAAAGCCAAATAGTAATTTGCCACCACAACACATTATTTCTTTACTGTTTAATATTTTAAGGATTACAAAAACCTTCTTTATTCACGCTGTGCTAATTTGATCATAAACAGAACATATCTGAACTAAGTTTCCTAATTTGCTTTAAACAACTTAAAAATCAGTTTCATTTCATAATTCGAATATAAAAATGCACTTTTCTCATCAGTGTTGAACTGTAGTTTTCTAATGGATGGGATAAGGAGCTGCATATGTTATTATAATAATAATCTGATCTAATGGTGGGATATGGTTCAAAAAATGATTTACATTTAACATTTTTTTTCCAAACCCTTTTCATGTTTTCTCCACAACACATCCTGCTTCTAACCATACCTTAAAAAATGTTATATTATGTACCTGGGCATACTCTTGTATAAATAATAGAATGTTGCAAGCAAAAACACCACAATAATTTACATCACAGCTGTTTCTCTGTAGCCAGTGCTGAGAACAGGAACACTTTGAGGTGTAAAGTAACAGAACAAAGTAATTATTGAATGTCCTTCAGTTTATAGAGGGCTTGTAGGTGTACGGCTTAAGAGTCCCCTAGGAAGTAAGGATTTAGACTGTCTTTAAAGTAACCTCTAACCTCTCTTAGCAATCAAACTTGGGTTCCACCATGGATGCAAAATGTGTAAAAGAGGTCTGTATAGAATGATTTGATTGAAGAAAAAAAAATAAAAAATGCAAACACTAAGGTAGAGAAGACCACAAAGTCTACAACAGACAAGTAAACATACAAAAGATACAGCAGAAGACAAAGGAGCAATTTGTGTATGTCCTTGCAGTATATACTTAATAAAGGTATACATTAACCTCTTAAGGACACATGACATGTGTGACATGTCATGATTCCCTTTTATTCCAGAAGTTTGGTCCTTAAGGGGTTAAACCAAGAACACAAGTAATTAGAAAAAGAAGCCTTGTCAATGTTTTGTTTCTGAAGCAGATTTTTACACTGCTTATATGAATCACACAGAGATGCTGTAAAATTTATGGAAACAGCAGTGCTAGGACTGTGCTCAAGATAAATTATGGGCTATGTATAAATCGTGTTAAAATTGCTTTAACCTTTGTGCCAGTTTTGTGCTCATGCACCATTTTTTTAACATATAAAAAAAGTTACCCACCTTTTTATAAATTCATGTGTTTTTTTCCTACCTTTCCCACCAAAATGAATATTTTGCAGAAAATAAGGGAATACATTGGGGGAAATAGGAGAGGCGAACAGAGAAAGTTAAAAAAAAAAAAGGGGGGGGGGCGACTCAAAACTTTCTATACATAAATCCCAGTGTATCTAGAACAGCATATAAGCCATATTAAATTGTGTATGTTATCTAGAGAAAAGGGTGATACATACAGTACTAGTAGAAAATGAGGGTGTTATGGGGTTACAGCTGACAGTTTAAGGAAGCATTGTAGAGAGTAGATGGTTTTGGAAGAAAGGTATGTCTAATATAGAAATTAATATATATTTAAAAGATATGAGATTGTGAAGAATAGCATTATAAAATTAAAACAGAGGAACCCGACCTGATCTTTGGAAAGTTTAAACAGCCCCTAATATATATGGAGATAATTTTGTGACTTAACATGTATTATTGCATATTGTTCAGGTTACACTAAAACAGTATTATGGTATGCCTAGTGTTTACACATTCCCTGAGAAACCTTATTCTGTTCCTCTTAGGATGAAACATATTGTTGTACAGATTTGATCAAATTGTGCTCCTTTTGACTTTACACAGTATCATGTAAAACTACACTATATTGGTGAAACAATGATAAAAAATCAGCTGTTGTATGATTGTATTTAAATAGTCTACAGCTGTTTCCTCCATTCTGCAACATCCTTCAAAACACAGCCTTCTTGTCTGACAATAATACTATTGTGGCCACAGACTGCTCTGATGACTTTGTTTTAGGAAACAGCTCATTCTCATTATAGTTTCTTAAACTTTGTAGAAACATGGCAGAAAGGAGCTTGTAGTTCATCTCTTATCCCCAACTACCAATAATTCAGTAAAATTGTAATTGCCTACCACACTGCAGGAGTCAGAAATATCGCAGCACCATTAAAATGCCTCATTTCTATTTTCTTATACCTGGTGGCCATAGGTTAGGGTTGCCACCTTTTTTTGAAAAAAATACCTGCCATGCTAATTTGCATAATGAATTATATATGCATGACATCACAGCACACAACGTACATAAAAGAACAAGAACATTTAGAAGCAGAAAATTCCCTAAATCACTAATAAAATACTTACAATGTTTGTACTTTGTCTGACTGTGTGTATGTGAGACAGTGTGTATATATTGACTGGATGAGTGTATGTGTATGTATAGCAGTGTCATTGTCTAAATGTGCATATATAAACTAGGGATTGACCGATATTGATTTTTTTTAGAGCCGATACGATAATCTGTGAACTTTCAGGCTGATAGCCGATAACTTACCGATATTCTGTACATTTACCATTTTGAAAAAAATAAACTATTTCTAAAGGTAAATGCACAAAATATACATGCCACATGTAGTGTGTGCAGTGTTTTTAGACAGGGGAGCTGTGTGTGTTTGTGTAGTGGATGCAGTGTGTATTTGTGTAGTGTGTGTATATAATGAATGCAGAGTGTGTTTGTGTAGTGTGTATAGTGAATGCAGTGAGTGTCTGTGTAGTGTGTATATATAGTGAATGCAGAGTGTGTGTTTGTGTAGTGTGTGTATAGTGAATACAGTATGTTTAGTGTGCTAAAGTCAATGCAGTGTATACAGTGTGTGTTTGTGTAGTATGTGTATATAATGAATGCAGAGTGTGTGTTTGTGTAGTGTATGTATAGTGAATACATTGTGTGTGTTTCTGTAGGTATGTAATTTGTGTAAAATGGGGAGAGGGGGGGGAATGGGAGGCATTTTTAATTAAAAACAAAAAAATTGTCCCCCATCTCTGCTTGTTACTTGGCCAGGGACGAGGGATATAGCATTCCCTGGTGGTCCAGTGGCATGGACTGTGCAGTGGGTCCGCAGCAAGCGCTTACTTACCTTCCCAGTGTAAATCTCATGGCCAGCGTGCCGCTCGGAGCGTTGCCATGGTAACCCATGTCAATGCTCTGACGGCTGCGGGACTCGCAAGACTTACACAGGGTTGCTGAAGGGAGCTGCTGGGAAGGTAAGTAAGTTGCTGGGCCCCCCAGCACCGCAGGGCTTGTCATGGGCCGTCAGTCCTGGTATGTATTATTACAAGTTTCTAGAAGCATTCTTTTCAGTGGTTTGTGTGGTCATCCTCAAGCTGGGTACAGTCAGTTTATATTATTTCTTCTCCTAAGCTGGGTTTGATTCTAACTTTATCTCTATTTGAAGACTGTAATGTAATTCATAAATCATGGACTGCTGGTTATGCATATATGTTCGCAATATACAGTGGCTGAAGCACACTCTAAGACTACAAAAGCATATAGATGGAAATAAAATCTGTTAGCTGCTTATTGTTGTCATAAAATGTATTAGCTTGCCAACTCTTTGCATTTAGACTATATTACATATATACTTGTATTGCATCCAGTATACACAAAAAAAGGACAAAAGAGAAACTCTTCTAAGCAAGTGTTAATTATTTTAGTGCTTTTGAAATGACCAAATATTGTATACATTACTAGAGGAGGTATCAGCTCATGTATGGAAACCAATTCATACATGTGCAAGTGATATACTAAAACACATTGTATGTGGTTATTTAGGCGCACACACAGCTACTAAAACTAGGGAACAGTACTCTCTAAAGTCCATTCACTAAACTAGGCATTTTGGCAAAGTGACAAGCAAACGGCAAAACAAAATCATGAATGGGCAGAAAAGAAATGCATTGTGAGGTTAAACCCGCAACCCTTACATCACAATCCCTATTCTCTACCTCTGTTAGTAAGTATGACATTGTAAGACTTATACAGAGGACTTTCTGTCTCAGATGTCTTACTGTAGACTAAATAGGTCACTTCAAACATCACCTCCAAGAGCAGACTGAGCATGTGTGAGGTGTACTCAGCCTGGACATTTTTTTACACATAACCTAAGTTCTACACGTGCCCTTCTGTTCCAAAGGTTTATCCAGACATTCATCATTTGTTATCAGTGAGTCAGTCTGTGCTGTGGTGGAAGAAGGGCAGGGGAAATTATAGTACTATAAGGGGTATACTTTCCATTTATAATGAAAATCAATGTCAGGAGTTTACTCTTTTACAATTGTCAAAATATATATTTTTAATTTTTGTTATGACAACATTTATCTAGAGGGGCTGTGCCCTAGGTGCCCCATTGCTCTCACATGTTTTTTTTAATTGTATTTTAAGATGACTTTGTTATTTTACTGTCCTGTGACTGGCTTGAATTTGATGTGCATGTTCCACATTAACTACATCGCCAATGAGAGTTTGTTCCTTCATCTTCAGTTGATCTAAGTGGCTGCATTTTAGCTCACATGCTTGGGTAAAATTATTAGCCATGATCACAACACAGTCTTTACCATGCATTTGTGTGATTATTGTCTGCTAATGAACTGTATGTATAATCATTAGCTTGCATACTAGAACAAAAACGGGTTACTGGCAGTTTTCGCGGGATGCATTAAATCTAGTGTACCCTTGTTCATTTGTGTTTTAATTCCTTCTGTGCAGGTTGGCATATTGTTATGGGAAGTATTTTTAATCCACTCACATATTCACTAAGTAGTGATTTGTTAATGAAGGTGTGTTCATTTGTGTGACATATTTTTCCACCATGTGTGAAGTATTAATGAATCACCCACTGTGTAAATGATTCCTGATCCACACTGTATGTTAGTAAATAGTACCTTTGTAACCTTTGTTTCAGAATCTAAATTATATCACTAATGTACCAAATTCTAAATTGTATATTACTCAACCACCCTTTCGTACTATTTCAAATAATTAAAAGTAATTCAAAGACCTACCAAGGTAAGGGCTGTAAAATGCAGTACATATTCAAACATGTTTCTGGGTCAATTCTAAAGTCAAACACGAAGACAAGTGAGCAGAAATTGGCCCTAAAGACAATTCTCTGTTAAGTCCATTAGGCCTATAGTTTTTGGAACAAGTACAGCAGTATTGGAATCTAGTAGGCAGCAAATCCTTCATATTGAATATTTATGAATGTTCATGGATAATAATAGGTGACATTTTCTAGATATATAGATGTTGCCATATTAATTACTCATACTATCTTGCTTTTTTTGTATAGCTTAATTGCCCTTGATATTACGTTACACATGACTGCATCCCAAGAGTTCACAGCTGGAATGGTAGTACAACATGAGTAGATGGACAATTCGAACCCACAAATTTCACCCATCAATATTTTGTTCTATATTCTCATTGCTGTCTTGTTTAATACATTCTCCATATTGTCAAAATAAAATGAAAAATAACATAAAATAATAGATTTGTATTATGGAGAAAGTCACAAAATCTTCACTGTTTGCTTTGATTGTACATAATAACCTTTGCTGGAAGAAAGGAATGTAATGAAACTTTCCATTCATGTAAATGCTTATACCACACATCATTATAGACTGACACTAGCTATATGTCAATCTCCTTTTAACAGTGGAATTAAAAAAACATATCGGTAATTTTGAATAATTAAGGCATTTAGTGCCAGTCAAGACATTTTCAGTACTGGTTATCTTAAATTCTCCTTATACATGAGTTACACTTCTAAATAAAGAACATTTTTATTAAGTAACACTTTGCTGTTTTATTTATTCAGTTTAAATTAATATAACTGCTAACATGCATTGCTTATCCCTGAGTGCCAGATTATATAATATTCTGATTTTTTTTATTATTATTATTTTTATTTATTTTTTTGGAACATGGAGACGGATTGCTTATAAATAACTGCACTGTAGTTTGCAGTTTGATGACTTGGGATATAAAGTATTCCACAACAGATCTTTTTGGGAATGACATGAAATAAAACATCACTTTTGTGCATCCATATGATGGTAATAATCAATGGTGAATGAATAAATTATAGTATAGTAATGGATTATGCTAATAATAAATGGTGAATGTAGAATAACAGATCAGTAGGTGCACAGTGCAGCTATTTATTGGTAATCAAAGATAATGTACATCATTTGATAGTGATGCCTAGTAAATATTTCAAAAGAACCTATTCTTACATATGTACTTACATTACTTCCTAAAGAGTTAGTAGTCTAACTGTAGTTTGTTTATTGGTCATAGATTCATTTTCTGTCAGTCTCACATCAGACTATCTGTTACGCTACTTGGGTGATTTGGCTTGGAACTCAACTGCAGCTTGTAAACCTACCTAATTACACGAGTGAAGATACGGAGAAACTTTAAAGTATCAATACTGTAGCTTTAAGAAAAGAGGGAATCGCTGGTAACTTGATTCAAACAAAGTTTTAATAAGTGTTAAACTTAAATGAATTGCATTTAGGCAATAATCCAATAAGAAGAAGTGCAAGTAATCAACAACACAAAGTTCATTGTTAAGTATTTCCTCAGAGATGCATTAAGTAACATTATTTGGTTAATGTGAATAATCTCCAATAGTAATATTAAGCAAGTAGCTGACAATAGTTGCAAAGCAAGAATAGTTCATAGCTAATAGGCATCATGGGAGTTGTCCTCCATATCATTAGTAACTTGAAGCACTGAGTGTAATTGCAAAGCAAGAAACAGTTCATAGTGAATGAGAATAGTGAATAAGCATGTTGAGAGTTGTCCTCCAAATAATTAGTAGCTTGTAGTAGTGAAGATTTGAGTAAGCAAAACTTAGTTCATTATTAAATGAGATTGTAGATAATTAGATGAGAGGTATACTTAAGGTTAGTTGTCCTCCAGTAGTAAAGAGATAAGGTCCACTTGTAAAGTGAGTTTCCGTTCTCCAGCATTCCTCTATTAGATGAAGCATACTTGTCTTAGCCCGATGGCTAAGACAACATCAGAGCTTGAAGACCCGGCGTCTCCCAGTAGCCGGCGTATACACTCGGAAGTCGGACCCACATTGCCAGACACTGTGGAGAGGTAAGACTGGCAGAAGTAGATCCCAGTAGCTGAGCCTGTGGAGCCCGCGGTCTCGTGGAGGTAGCTCTCACATTAGCTCACACACAATCACCAAGCGCCCTCTCTCTGGCGCGGTCTCCCTAAATACCGTCAGAACCGCGTCAGAGGGGGCGGGGTCCAGCTACGCACAGCGGAGTGCCAAACCCAGAAGTGTTACCGCATGACAGGACCCCCTACCTAAGGAGCACACTCCAGGTGCTATTACCTCGGTTTTTGAGGGTATCTTCTGTGAAAGGCAGTATTTAACTTCTTGGCATGTATTTCAGAGGAATTCTCCCAGGTGTTATCTTCTTCTTCATACTCCTTCCATTTAATAAGGTATTGTAAGTTACCTCCATGAAGTTTGGAGTCAAGAATTTTCTCTATTTCATATTCCAATTCTCCTTGTACTTCAATGGGGTCAGGCCTTGACAATTGTTCCCTCTGGAAGGGGTCTGGTAGAAAAGACTTTAGGAGTGAAACATGGAAAACTGGATGCAGTTTAAGTGAAGGAGGAAGTTTAAATTTTACTGCATTTTCATTAATAATTGATTCAATTTGAAAAGGTCCAAGAAAAAGAGGACTTAGTTTCTTAGAAGGACTGTTAGTAGAAATATTTTTTGAAGACAACCAAACAGTGTCTCCAATTTTATATTTAGGAGGAGCTCTCCTTTTAATATCATATTTCCTTTTATATAATGACATAAAACTTTCAAGGTTTTTCTTTAATTGCTTGAACAATGAGGACATTCCCATATTTTGAGAAGAAACCATTGGATTAGAAGTTGTCTTGGGATCTTCAGGAAACAAGGAGGGTGGTGTATTTCTGAGAAGGAGGGAGTTCCACCATAAAGTTCATGGAAATAGACTGCCAAGGTCTCTCACGCACTGGTAATCCAGTCAATAATCCATAAGGAAGGTGACGTTCCACTTTGGACCTTTGAAAACCTGGACAAGACTTTACATAGGATTCAATGGCTTTGTCTTGACGAGGCCACCAATATTGTCTAGTAGAGAGTTCAAGTGTCTTTTTTATTCCGGGATGTCCAGCAAGGGGAGAATCATGAATTCATTTTAAAAGGTTGTTTCTGAGTTTTGGAGGAATGTAAGTTCTATTTTTGAAATAAAAGATTCGATCTTTTTTGTACAATTTAGGAGTAGAAGGTAATTCAAGTTCTTTGAAAGATAATTGTTTCAGTTCTTCCAATATAGTAGTTGTCAATCCAATAACTTTATTGTTTGACAATATTGAAAAGGTTTTCTCTTTTGAAGCAGGGTTAAATGGAATTTTGGAAAGAGCATCAGCTTTTTTGTTACGAAATCCAGGTCTTAATTTTTCTTGACTTAATTGAAGTGTAGGAATTTGAGAAAAACAATCGTCCTTACAATAATCTGAGTCAAAGGTGAGAGAGAAGGGAGCCCAACGAATGAAGGGGTTATGAGTTTGTAACCAGTTGATTCCTAAGATGATTGGAAAAAGAGGAGATTTTATTATATCAAAAACAAGAAATTCTGAATGGTTATTATTGACAATTGTCCTAAAAGGAATAGTTTCGTTTTTTATAGGACCAGAGGGGATTAAAGATCCATCAATAACTCTGATGGAGACAAACGATGCCTTTTTCATAAAAGGAATTTTATGAGTTTCAACAAACGAAGAATCTATGAATATCCCTGTAGCTCCAGAATCAATAATAGCTTCAGTCTTGATTCTTTCTTTGTCCCACTGTAGAATTAGAGGTACAGCAAACTGATGAGAGCAGGAAGAGGGAAGTGTTTTCAGAATTGAGGTATTAATTTTAAGCTTTCCTCCCTTAGCGCGTTTTAATAGAGGACATTCTTGTAAAAAGATGTTCTTTAGAAGCACAATACATACAGTGATTTACATTTCTTCTTCTTGTTTTTTCTTCTATAGACAAAGGTCCCCTAATAAACCCAACTTCCATAGGTTCATTTGGTTGCAAGGGTTTATTAGGCATGCGCAAAGGTGGATTGGGTTTTTTCCAATTTGAATTAGAGAGAGTCTTTTCTGCTTTACGTTCTCTGATTCTTCTATCTATACTGATAGAGAGTTGAATTAAGGTATCAAGCGTTGGAGGAAGTGTGGTTCTAGATAATTCATCTTTAACTGGTTCAGACAATCCCAAACTGAACTGATTACGTAGAGCTATATCATTCCATTGGGTTTCTGAAGCCCATCTTTTAAATCCAGCTATATAATCCTCCACAGGACGATTTCTTTGTTGTAATAATTTTATAGTAAGATCAGCTGTAGCTTGTTTATTAGGGTCCTCATAAAGTAGTGACATTGCTTCAATAAAATTATCCAAATAATCCAAAATAGGATCTTCATTTTCCAGAAATGAATGTGTCCAGGACATGGGTTCACCCCTTAAATAGGAACTTATTGAACAAACTTTAATCCTGTCTGTGGGGTATGCCCTAGGTTTAAGAGTAAACAACAATTTGCATGAATTCAAAAATTCTCTATATTTAGAGCGATCTCCATACATTTTTTAAGGACTGCAGACAGCTGGGTCACTTGTAGAATAAGTAACTTTATTTTGCATTTCTCTAATATAAGAAAGAAGTCTTTCATTAGCAATTTGCATTTCCTGCATGCCTTGAGTGAGCATTTCAACCCGGTGGGTTAATGAGGTAATTTGGGAATTTACTTCTTCTCTCTTCACAGTATTCTCCCCTTTTAAATCTGCCGGTCCATCCGACAGCTTCCGTGATCACGCATGCGCGCACCCCGTCACACATGCCGTCATACGTCATGACGCACGCGTGACCACCACGCGCATGCGCGACCACGCTGGAATGCAGGATAACTTTATTGATCCTCTACACAGCCACAATATGAATGCTCTACAAACCAGAGCATTCAAATAAATGCAGACCGTGTGTACAAACCTGCCTACCCCCCAGCTGAACCCTAACATAAAAATGCTACTCACTCATATGTTGTGCTGTGACTGTTTTTAAAAAAAAATTTATTCATAAACTTTTGCTGTTTTTGCTTTACCATCAATATTTCTTTTCATACCCTTATTTTTATATACCAATATAGTGATTTTGGCGCCCTGTTCTTTCTAGTGTTTTGTTTTAACGTATAGATAAGACAAAGAATGGTCAGAGACAAGCCGAGGTCGAGGGAACGGGAGGACAGGTAAGCAAGAGTCAAGCCGAGTATAAGGGTAAGAGAAGGTAGCAGGGTCGATAATAGAGAGCCGAATCAAAAACCAAATAATCAAAAGAAATAAGAGCGCTGAGTGACCAGACAAGCTAGAACCACGACAGGGCAATGACTCATTGCAAATGAGTCTCTTTTATACCTTGGTTCCTTAACTGGTGACCACGCCCCCAAAATGTCCTGATTTGCGGTTTCTGGCGTTTCGTGACGTCATTGACGTCAGCTATTGAGCGCCGTGTCATAAAAGGAGGCGGAGTTATCGTGGCCGGCGTGTAAAAAACGATCGGGTGTACAAGCCCCCTTCTGAGGAACTACGTCCAGATGTCTGACCTCCTTTTGAGGTAGATACCACAGGTACCATGACACCACACTATTAATCCACATAAACTAACCGATCACATAACATTTAAACAATTTCGTGTCTACGGTCAGTGGTTATGGTACGGTTAGTAACTATTGTACAGTTTAGA